GTGTTGCGTATAATAGAGTAAATGCAACATATAACTTATTTGGATTGCGTGTATTACCTAATACCCTTTTTCTCGCAGTGACCTCCCAAGCCCTCAAACCAATTTCCCTAATTTCAAGAGTTTCTCATATTTGTTGCACAACTTTATCCTGCTAACATAGAATCACATAAAAACGTAAAATAAGAGCTTAAACACTCTAGGGTAATGTCACTTGAAGAAATACATTCAACACTTAGCTAATACAACCCATGAAATTAAAACTCATCTCAGCCACCTCTCTATCCCTCAAATAAATTTCCTTCATCTCCAACATTTCCATGAACTTACTTTGTCATTATTGTTTCGTATATTGTATTAGTTAGGTGTTAAATGTAATTCTTCAAATAGCAGTATTAGAGTGCTTGAGTGCTTATTTCGTGTTTTTATGGGATGTTATAGTAGTTGGATGAATTGGTAGAGTAAGTTCATGAAAATATTTGTGGTGGATGAGATTTATTTGATGGATTAAGAGGTGGCAGAGATTAGTTTTTATTTCACGGATTGTATTAGCTAGGTGTTGAATGTATTTTTTCAAATGACAAATTACAATAGTGTTTCAATGTTTATTTCATGATTTTACGTGATACTATGTTAATTGGATGAAATGGTGCAGCAAATATAAGAAAATGGTGAAATGGAGAAAATAGGTTTGACAGCTAGTAGGTGATAAAGATAAGTCTTGTTTCATGGGTTGTTTTAGATAGATGTTGAATGCCTTTCTTTGAGTGACTTAATATATTAGGATTTACTTTTTGATAATTAGAATCTAGAGTTCATTCATTAATGGTTAGGATATAGTATCATGTCCCAAAATTCTATTAATTCAAGGTCTAAATATCATTTTCTTATTTGGTGTATGCAGTACTCCAACTTTTACTTGGTTTATGTAAGAAGGAACCATATATAGATACTAGATTTGAACCCGGCCCGTTGGCCGGATATATTTTTATCAATGGTATAAACAACAATAATAAATTTTCTAATTTGCTATCATAAATTAATCCAAATATTAAATTATTGATAAAATAAAATAAAACCATGTATCGTAAATTTGAAAAAAAAACTTCATATCATAACCAACTCGTCAACTAATATCAATGTCGAAATTTAAATAAATCATGCAAGAGAATCAACTTCTACAAAATGTATTCAAATCACACTTCAGTTAGAATTACTTTATAAATTTCTTTTTGACTTCGTGATTGCTTCCTCATTAGCATTATCATCCCCACTAACAACAACACCGCAAGCAAGTCATTGAGTAGGGTCAATGTTGTGTATTTCAACCCAGTGCATTAGAAATACTCAGCATGGCTCATATTGAACCAACAGGCGGCAACGTCAAGAAACTTCCTAATGGTGTAGAGGTTTACCAAGCCAACTTACTTCATGATGGTTCTGCAATTAAGAATTCGGTTAGCGTTCGACGTGTGCCGGTAGATGTTGTGAATGTTCTTGAGGATGAAGTAAGTTATCTACAAGAAGCACAGAATGAAGCTGGAAAAGAGTTGTTTGAGTGAGAATTGCTCTCTTGCAAAACTTCTCCCATCATCTTCTCTCAAGAATTCTTGTGTAAGAAGTCTATCAAACTATCAAGTTTTACTTCATCTTTTTCAAATCATCTTCAACTTTTATTTATTTTGTGCATAACAGGTCATCTCCAGTATTTATTTTATGCAAAACTGGTCATCTCCGGTATTTATCTTCTGCTAATCTGGTCATCTCCAGTATTTACTTTTTTCTAATCTGGTCATCTCCAGTATTTACTTTTTGCTAATCTGGTTATTTCCAGTATCATTTACTTTACAAACTATTTTCAAGTTAATCTCATATTGGCTGTCTCATTCTTGTCCTTACTCCTGCCGAGAATGACATCAAGAGCATAAGGGATTTCTTCTTCAGGAAATGCAGTGGGTTTCTTTGATTTGGAGGGAGCATTTTTCAACCAAACGGCATGACGTTCCATTCATATTGGCCAAAGGGAACGGTAAAAGCAGTTTTATAGTGGTCTGTTTTTTATTTGGATTTGCCAAAATCCGGATTTCATGTCAAATTCAGAAAATATTAGGGACTGTGAAAGTTTTTGGAGTAGATCCTTTTGGTTGGGGATAGAATACCTAATCCATTTCAGAGCCTTATTCAACGGTTTGTAGTTTATAACAAGACGAGGAACGCCACGTTCCTTTTCTGCATTATTAATGACATAGAAAGCAGAACAACTCCAAGGGGATTGGCCAGATCTGATAAGGCCTTTTTTGAGCAATTCTTTAATTTCTTGTCGACAATGTTTTTCAAGGTCCGAATTCATTTGGATAGGCCTAGCCTTGGAGGGGATGAGATTCTTCTGGAACTCCTATTTTAGACTCCAATAATCAATCTTCTCAAGATGCAGTTGCATCTCTGATTTTTGCCATTTCAAAACATTTTATTGGAGATCCTTCACATCTTAAAGATAAAAATGATGAACTACTTTCTAATCTTCGTTGTAAAAAGTTTCATGACTTCCGATGGTACAAAGATACCTTTTTAACTAGGGTTATGCAAAGAGAAAATGGAAATCAACCATTTTGGAAAGAAAAGTTTTTAGCCGGTTTACCCCGTCTCTGAGGAGATAAAATCCGAAACAAAATCCAAGACACTTTTAATGGTCAAATTCTTTATGAGCAACTTACTTATGGAGAACTTATTAGCTTTATACAAAAAGAAGTATTACAAATTTGCCGTAATTTTAAACTTCAAAAACAAATCAAACGCGAACAAAAACTAACTCGAAAAGAATTAGGATCTTTTTGTGCTCAATTTGATGAGTCTTATTCAAAAATTTCTTCCAAATCTAACTGTGAGGATTGTAGCACCAAACCTCATAAAAAACATCGCGATCGTCCCTACCGATCTTTTAAAACTACGAATAAAAAATCCCATTTTTCTAGGAATCCCCGCCCAGATAAGGGACCACGATCTAACAATAAAAATAAAAACATTACTTGTTTTCGTTGTGGAAAAACAGGTCATATTTTCAAACATTTTTGTATAAAAAACAAGCTTAATGAGCTTAATCTTGACGAAGAGATTCATGACAAAATCAATAATCTTTTTCTCCAACACTATTCTTCTCATGAGGATTCTTCTTCTTCTGATGATGATGAGAATCTTCAAGCCTTACAATTTAATGACATCGATGAAAGTTCTGAATCTTCTATCAATGTTTTAACCAAAGATCAAGAGCTTATTTTAGATCTAATCAATAATATTGATAATCCTCATCTCAAAGAAAAATATTTCAAAAAGCTTCATGAACACATGGAGAAACCTCTTGTGACTATTCCACCTACCAATCCCTTTCATCAAGGTTCGACGTATAGTGTCAAATATATCCTTTCTCGACATAGTAATAACGATTCCCACAATCCTTCTCTTCCTGATTTCCAAAAGGAATTGGATATTGTTAAGAAAGAAATTCAACAATTACGACAGTTACAAAATAGTGATCATGAGATATTACAAACTTTAATAGCTCTCAAACCTTTAGAAGAGCCATCAACATCTAGCCCCAACAACTTTTTCGATGAAACTCCTCACGCAACCAACAGTTTAGAAACAGAGGAAATGCTAACTAATGAAGATTTTCTATGTTTTTTTATCAACCACACTACCCAAAAATGGTATGTTATCATTAATATTCAGGTTTCTTCTTATATTACTTTAAGCACAGTGGCCCTTCTCGTACAGGAGCAGACATGAACTGCATCCAAGGATTAATTCCAACTAAGTACTATGAAAAGACCCTCGAGCGTCTATCTACCGCTAACTCTCAACCTCTTCAAATACAATATAAACTTTCTAATGCTATAATTTGTCATCAAAATGTTGAATTCAAAACTCCTTTTATCCTAGTACGTGACATGCAACAAAAGGTGATCCTAGGGACAACTTTTCTAAATCTTCTAGAACCTTTTACCGTCACCGACCAAGGAATTAACACTGTTGTATTAGGCAACAATGTTGAATTCTCGTTTCTCCAAAAATCAAAAGTTCGAAACCTAAATGTTTTACGACGTTCTTCTATAAAATATATACACCATATAATTCGTTGTAAAACTAATCAAATATCTTATTTGCATGATGAGATACATTTTCAGCGAATCTTACAACAGCTTTCTCAACCTCTTGTGCAAAAAACGAATCAACTCTTTAAAAGAGCATATTAAAAGCTCTATTTGTGCTGATACACCCAATGCTTTTTGGCATAAAAAACAACATCAGGTTGATCTCCCTTACGAAAAAGATTTCACATACAATCTTATTCCCACCAAGCAATGCAGTCAAAAGCGCGATTCTACCTAGAAGCAGAAAAGGTGTAAAATCGTAAAACGTAGAATCAAAGCGTAAAAGCGTAAGTATTTTACGCATACTTTAAATAACTAAAAATCTGTTAAGTACGACATATACTATGTAAAATATGAGTACAGAGAATTTAGATAAATTAATAAATACCTGCAATTCATGTCTAAAGTAGAGCAACTCATAGCATCTTAACAATAAGTTCATAAACATATATCTTAACAACAAGTCACATTCCCCTCTATGCTATTGAATTTGGGAAAGCTTAGCTGGTGAATTAGATTACTCTATTGAAGCTGAGAAGGCATCCAATCCAAGTATCTGGTATGTACCTCTTTAATCTCAAACGTATCATATTGTTGGTGATTTACCTTTAAAATATACTTTTTCTAATTATTTTCATGAAAAGAATACCCATTTAGTGAACTAAAAGCGTAAAAGTGTAAAGTATTTTGGTGAACTAGAAGCGTAAGCTTTTGAGCTTTAAAGCGCAATTTAGTCCGATTTTATACACTTAAGATTTTATATAGAAACGAAAGCATTTTGGTGATCTAGAAGCGTAAAACCGTAAGTTTTTAAGTTTTAAAGCGTGATTTGACTGCATTGCCAGGCCTATCCAAATGAATTCGGACATTGAAAAACATTGTCGACAAGAAATTAAAGAATTGCTCAAAAAGGGCCTTATTAGATCTAGCCAATCCTCTTGGAGTTGTTCTGCTTTCTATGTCATTAATAATGCAGAAAAGGAACGTGGCGTTCCTCGTCTTGTTATAAACTACAAACCGTTGAATAAGGCTATGAAATGGATTAATATCCTATCCCCAACCAAAAGGATCTACTCCAGAAACTTTCGCAGTCCCTAATATTTTCTAAATTTTTGACATGAAATCCGGATTTTGGCAAATCCAAATCAAAGAAACAGACCGCTATAAAACTACTTTTACCATTCCCTTTGGCCAATATGAATGGATATGCCGTTTTGTTTGAAAAATGCTCCCTCAGAATTTCAAAGAATTATGAATCAAATCTACTCTCCTTGTTTTGATTTCATAATAGTTTATAGGGTTAATACCTTATTTTGGCACGAACTATGGCTATATAATCAACTTTGGCACGTGGTTTTAGAAATTAACATCCTGACCTCAATTATGCAGCATATAGACTAAATTGGCCCGACACATGCTTTGACCGTCAATTTGGACGGTCAACATCATTGACCGTTAGTCAACGCACAATGTCATTGCCTAGTCAGCCTAAAAATCATTAAAAAAATGAAATTCAAATAATTTTCTAATTATTATTATTTATCATCTGAAATTAACCAAAAAGTAAAATATAAAAAATTTATGTTTTTATCTTTTGGGACATTTGAAAATAACAAATTTTAAAAAATAATTTTTTTTTGGGTAATTTAAAAAATCTATAATAATTTGATAATTTTTTGTTAATTTATAAAATTATTCATTTTAAAATTACCAAAAAAATATAATATAATTTTTTTTATGTTTTTTTGTTTAATTTGATAATGATAAATAATAAAAAATAAAAAAAATAATTTGAATTATAAATTTATTTTTTGGTTTATGTTTTTTATATTTTGTACATTTATAAAATTTAATTTGATAATTTTTTTATTTATAAAATTTATCATTTTCAAATGTCCCAAAACATAAAACATAAATTTTATTATATATTTCTGAATTTTATTTTTTGGTTAATTTGAAAATGGTAAATAATAATAATTAGACAAATAATTTGAATTTCAATTTTTAATGATTTTTAGCCTCAATGACATGGCGTGTTGACTAACGGTTAATGGTGTTGACCTTCCAAATTGACGTTCAAAGCATGTGTCGGGCCAATTTAGTCTATATGCTGCATAGTTGAGGCCAGGATGTTAATTTCTGAAACCACGTGCCAAAGTTGATTATATGGTCATAGTTCGAGCCAAAATAGGGTATTAACCCTAGTTTATATTGATGATGTCCTGGTTTTTTCTTCGTCCATTGACCAGCATTTCAAACATATCAATCTATTTCTTGAAGTCGCTCGACGTAATGGTCTGGATGTCTCTAAACCAAAACTTTGTCTTTTTCAAACTAAGATACGTTTTTTGGGTCACTACATTAGTCAAGGAAAAATTGTTCCAATCAAAAGATCTCTTCAATTTGCATATAAATTTCCTGATCAAATTTTAGACAAAAATCCATTACAACGGTTCCTGGGTAGTTTAAATTATGTCCTTGACTTTTATCCCAACATCAATCTTCTTTGTAAACCTCTTCATGATAGATTGAAAAAGAGTCCTCCTCCCTGGAGTGACCGGCATACCAAAATAGTTCAGCAAATTAAGAGGCAGGTTCAGAGTCTCTCGTGCCTTCACATAAGTGATCCTCCTCTCCTTAAAATCGTCGAAACCGATGCCTCTGACCTAGGATATGGAGGAATCCTTAAGCAGATTCAAAATGATAAGGAGTTGTTGGTACACTTTACTTCTAAACATTGGAACCCTACTCAAATCAATTACTCCACTGTCAAAAAAGAATTGCTTGCTATTGTTTATGCATCTCAAAATTTCATCATGATTTGCTCAATCAAACATTTTTACTACGCATTGATTGCCAATCAGCAAAATACATTTTGGATAAAGATGTTCAAAATCTTGCTTCTAAACAAATATTTGCACGATGTCTAGCCATCCTTAGCATTTTTTATTTCGACATACAATTTATAAATGGTTCTTCAACCTAGGGGTGGGCATTCGGTCGGTTCGGTTTCGACCGAACCGAAATTATGAATACCGGGTCCCCGAATTCTCTCAAACCGAATTCGATCCGAATTATAATTCGGTTCGATCGGTCTAAACCGAATTATAATTCGGTTCGATTTTTCACCCAAAACCGAATTTGTGAAGCTACTTGTATTTTCTCACTTTTAAATTATTTTTCACCCCTAATATAAACAATAAATATCAATTATATGCATCATCAATGATAAAATCAAACTTTTCAATACACAAGTCATAAAATATTTCAAATATTTAAGTCTAAAAATAACTACAAACATAAAAATCCACCATTTGGAGCTTGCAATTATAGTATTTCGGTTTTTCGGTCGGAAATTCGGTTCGGTTGAAAGAACCCTGGTTTCAGAACTATCCATAGTTTCCTTCCGAATTCCGAACCGAATAGCATTAATTCGGTTTCGGTTCGGTTTAGTTCGGTTTCGGTTCGGTTCGAATTTACCGAACCGTTTGCCCACCCCTACTTCAACCTCTCTTCCAGACTTCCTTACTCGGGAATTTTTGCAGGGAGGACGAAGTGCGGAAAATTCTCAGGCTTGGTAATATCATATTTCGTTACCACACAATATCATATGGTATTGTGTGATATTACCACACTATACCATATGGTAGTGGGTGGCAATCGACACCAATTCCGATAGAGTTAGAAGACAAAGAAGGGAGTGAAGAAAGTCGTAATTGTGTGTGTGTATATATATATGGGTCAGACTGGCGTACGTCAGGCGTATACTATACGTCAGGTACTACTAGTGAGATATCTCTATCTAGACCATGAATTAAATCGAGTTTGGGGTATGATACTATACCCTAACCTCTAATGGATAAACCCCAGGCACCGATTTTCTAAACCCCTAACCTCTAATGGATAAACCTCTATATGGGTCAGACTGGCGTACGTCAGGTGTATACTATACGTCAGGTACTACTAGTGAGATATCTCTATCTAGACCATGAATTAAATCGAGTTTGGGGTATGATACTATACCCTGACCTCTAATGGATAAACCCCAGGCACCCATTTTCTAAACCCTAACCCGAAGTTTGATTAAATGAAAAACAAAAATTGACCGTTGAGATCGGCCGGAGCTCATCTAACTACATCTAACGGCTAGATCACGTGACGTATACTATACACCTGACGTACATCAGTATTCACCATATAGATTACCATACTATACCATATGGTATTGTGTGATAACGAAATATATTTTTATGGATCATATTTTACCACGTAATACCACGTGGTATTGATGGTATTTAGATTTGAAAATTTTATTTTAGCATGGTATACCATATGGTATGGTAATAGATTTGTAATTTTCAGTAACATATTTTACCAGGTAATACCACGTGGTATTGTATGGTAGTGTATGATAATTTTATTTTTAGCAAGTGATAATCATATTCATATTTGGAATTATTGTCTATAGCACTGAATTATTTAACGAAAAAATCATTATTCAATTTTTTGATTTGGAATTAGAGCGTGGATAGTTGGGATGGTTAAATTCATTTTTGTTGTAGATATAGAGTTAGAGTGTAGACAGCAGATGCATTTCTCTCTCTTTTAGTTGTAGATGGGAGAGAAGAAATAATGTAATTTTTTTAATAATAAAACAGAGTGAGAGAGAGGGGAACACGCGTCGGACGGAAAGTGGGGTCTGTGTCTGGTCAATAATCAGCATTAGAATTAAATGAGGATGTGGACAATTTACCATACTGCCCCTCTGTATTTAATTTAAATAAAAAGAAAAGACTGACACGTGGGGGCTAGGAGAAGGGGTTACTGATGGAAGGGTTACTGAGGTGATCCGGTCCCCAACCCGTCTATCAAATGATCCCACAAAATGCGGCCCTATCACGAAAATCAAAATTAAATTTAAAATTTGATATTTTGTTGGTCTATTCCTATTATACCCCTTTTCTATTTATAGTCATTAGATCTTAAATAAAGATAAACAATTTAGATGATAGTTAGGAGGGTGCTAACCCCTAGGGGTGGTAATCGGTAAACCAGTATTACAACTCAATAATAAAAATTCACTTCAATCAAAGAATTAAGAAACTATATCATACTGGCAATTCGACCAGAAAAATCTCTTACCGAAAGCAAAACTGGTTGACGGTGACGATATTTAGAGGTATAAAACGGCTTAACAACGGTTTCAACATAAAATGTCCTACCGCTGACTTTTTCGATATAACCTCCAATATGATTTTTCAATCTTGATTCAACCACTCCATTCAACTCTCAATAATTCAAACGTTTAAATCAACTGAAAATTATTCACATGTCCAGGCGTCCGCGAATTACCATTACCAACTTAGATTAAAATGGACAACATTAACTAAGAACATATATAAATACTAGACATACCAATAAGCGCCAGACACCTAGCTAGGCGGGTTGCATGAATTGGCTGCAACCAGGGTAGCAGCCAAATATTGCTCATTATGCACAGCTCTTGAATTGTGCATATTATAAAATCACAAACATTAAATGGCTAATACCACTACAACATCCGAACTATCCAAAAAATGCTACTTATGTCCTATTTTATTCAATATTTCATTTCCATCCTGAACTATTTTTTCGTTAATTTTGACCGACGTTAACCGTTAGTATTTAACAGAAAGTCTAATCAGCGCTGATGTGTTATTTGACGTGGAATTTTAAATTCAATTTTCATTTATTTTTTTATGTCACTTAAAAAGAATTATTTAATAAAAAAGCTAATTTTTCTACCCACCCACCCTAGCCTTCTCGTCTCCTCTCATCTTCTCTCCTCTATAGGATTAACGATCTCGGCGGCGGCGCCAAACCTAATTTCTGTACCCTTCCCATCCCGGCGGCGACCCAAACAAAAGAGAGAAGGCGCATCGATCCAACCCATCTGATCATCAACGCACGCGGTCACATACCCAGCAGCAGCCTCCTCGCTAAGCTAGCAACCAACCATCATATCATCAATACTGCGAGTTCAGATCTACATCTCGTCATCATCCTCCAAATCGACGCCTCCTCCGGCGAGAAATAGGAAGCAACCGTCGCCGCCAAAGGACTTCCATCATCGATTTAACATCCCAGCCACTATCGACCAGAGCCACCACCCCCCAACCCTCTGTCCTGCTCTATGAAACTAGAAAAGCGGCGGATTTCCAAAAGGAGAGCGATTATAAGTCACGAGGGGCGATGATCATCGTGGATGCTTGTGGATGTGGTAAATTGAATTGGATGCTTGTGGATGCTTGGGTGGAGATTGAGTTGGAGGAAGGGGGAAGTGGTAAATTGAATTGAGAAATTTTTTGGGTAGTCGAGGAATAAAGCAAGGGGAAAATGAGAAGTTTGTTTTTAATTTTTTAATTTTTGCAATTTTTAATTTCATATATTTAAATTTTAAATTAATATCTGACGTGTTAATAACATGGCGCTTACGTAGATGACATGTTTTTGCCACGTCACCGAAAGTCAATATCACATTGACTTCCGTCAGGTCAACCGTTATCTATAACGGTCAACAAAAATATCAAGATATAAATGACACAAAACTATTATACAACAGGATAGAAATGGAATATTGAATAACTAGCTTGCTACCCGGCCTATTGGCCGGGAAGTCTTATCTCATTATGTGATTATATTTTTTTAAGATGAAAATTTTATGCATACATATAGTATAATCATGTTATCGCGAACATGCAACATATATAATCATATACTTAATTATTATATTTAAATTGTCGTATATATTTTCTTTAGAGGATGTTTAAAATACTCGATTGATGCTGTAAATTTTTTTATACTGTAAATTTTTATATATTTATTGATGTAAGCAACACATGTTCCTAACTTAAGATGTTCAATCTTAATCTACAGATACCAATTCTTTGCTAAGTACATAACATGCTTTTGGGATGTTTAAAATACTCGCTCATGATAGTTTGTTTTTCTAATCTTGATTTGACCTTTACTTATGGGTTAGATATTTCTAGTGTTGGGTTAGTGTTTTTATAAAAATCCCACTAAAGGTAATTTATTGGCCAAAATATTCAAATTATTATTTTATATAATATATCAATGTGTGTTTAATTATTATCCAAGATACACAAATGATTTGTACATACACATAAAATATAGGATATTTGGTAGAAATTAGTTAATAAACGTTAAAGATGTAAAATATGGTGAAGATAAGTATGGAAATGGGAGTGACGTTAAAAAATTTCATGTATTCCTAATATAATACATGAACGGAAAAAAAAATTGAGAAAGAAAACACTTAAAACGGAAAACAGCAAAGAAAAATAGATAATGATCAATATAAAGTGGAAGTTACAGGGTGATCCGCCGGGGGAAATATATTTTAAAAAAAAGAATTTCCGAAAGTCACGGAGAAGCCTGTAAGGCTGACGTGGATGGGGTCTATTTCTAAAACCCCTTTAATATATTTTAAGAAATAGGACATAAGTAACATTTTTCGAATAGTTCGGGTGTTGTAGTTGTATTAGCCCAACATTAAATTCAGATCTCCTCTTGTCTTCTCCGTATCTTCTTATAGCATCTTCATATCAGCACTACAAGCAAGCAACGTGTGAGGAAGGTGTCATCTCACGTGTTCGGTATATCGGATATCATCGGTATACCGAACACATACAAATCAAACCATGTACAAATAAAAAAGAATAAAAAAGGACCAGGCCTCGCATGCAATGAGAATGCATCATCAGTTCATCACCATCTAAACTTCATAAGGTGTAGAGAGAGAGAGCATACAAGCTCTACATATTCCATCTCTTGACATTTCTCTACATATTAAAAAATATTGCAATTCGAAAGGTTTATTTTTAGCAAATTTAGAACTCACAATTCAATTACTGCAGTTTTGAAAGAAAACGATCTATCCGGTATTCGGTATACCGGTTGAAATACCGAGAATCGACTATTCGATATCCGGTATACCGCATAACTTTCGGTATTGGTATTCGACGGCAGAATTTTAATTATCGGTATACCGAATACCGACTATTTGATATTCCGTATACCAGATACCGATCGATTATAACCCCTACTAACCCCTTATGAAGTTAGCACCCTACCTTCTCCCACGTCCCAATTATGAATTATCAGTTCGTTTACCAGCCCTACGTATGTATGTGCATGCCGCTTCTTGACCTAGGTACTTATTTCTTTTTTATATTGAAAATTAACCCTCAAGAAAAGAAAAGTGACTAGAATAAAAACAAAACAAATATTTTCGATCTATAAAAACAAAATAAAACAAATATTAACAAAACAAAACAAAAAGTGTAGTATGGGCCTAGGCGCCTAGCCGTAGCGGGCATGAGTAGGACAAAAGGGGCCCAATTTTTTTAATCGCAGCAGCTCCAAACTTGTAAAACCTAAAGAAGCCGCTGTTCTTTCTTGTGCACCCATCCCCTTAAATCGCAGAGGAAAAGGCTGTGTAGCCGTCTGTGATAGATTCCGCCACCGATCACCGCCGGTACAAATGTCAGTTATTCTCTTGAAAAACGCTCTCATCTTTCAACTTAGATTCGTCTCTGTAGACTGTAGGTTCTGACCCTTTTCCATGCTTCATGTATCTAATATCGGCTGCAATTGAACTTGTACGGCCAAGCCCTTGTTATGTTTTTCTTTTGTCTCGTCGAGCATAGAGTTACGTTTGGATGTGTTCATGGTGATAGTATAAGGTTATCGGTTGTGGGAAATTTTATTATTTGCTTTTTAATCTGGTTGTTCTGAATTTATCTTGTTGATCGGTGTTCTTATGAACAAGCTACTATACTAAGGCTAGGGTGAAGTTTTGGTGCCATAATTCTCTGTGCGTTTCATTGAAATCATATTTGTCTGCTCGATGCCAATGTTGGTTTAAACCCATTCTGCCTTGTTGCAGATAAATGGCTCAATACGATTTCAAGAAGATCACTGTCGTCCCGAGTGGGAACGACTTGATCGACATCGTTCTCTCTCGCACTCAGCGCCAGACCCCTACGGTGATCCACAAGGGGAATGCAATTTCGCGCGTGCGCCAGTTCTACATGCGGAAGGTGAAGTTCACCGAAAATAACTTCACTGATAAGCTCTCGAAAACCATTGAGGATTTCCCTAGGGTGGAAGATATCCATCCTTTCTACGGCGACCTCCTTCACGTCCTCTACAACAAGGATCACTACAAACTCGCACTTGGGCAGCTCAACACAGTGAGAAATCTCATCAAGAGGATACGCGAAGACTATGTGAAGCTCTTGAAATATGGCGACTCCCTCTACCGGTGCAAGTCATTGAAGCGTGCAGCACTTGGCCGAATGTGTACTGTGACCAAGCGCATTGGGCCGAGCTTGGCTTACCTCGAACATGTCAGGCAGCACATGGCGAGGCTTCCCTCGATCAACACGGGCGCTCCAACGATCTTGATTTGTGGGTGCCCCAATGTTGGGAAGAGCTCTTTCTTGAACAAGATCACCAGGGCTGATGTGGAGGTCCAGCCATATGCTTTCACCACGAAATCGCTCTTTGTGGGGCATACGGACTACAAGTACCTGAGGTATCAGGTGATCGATACACCGGGGCTCTTGGACAGGCCTCTTGAGGATAGGAACATCATCGAGATGTGCAGCGTTACAGCTCTCGTGAATCTCCATGCTGCTATCTTGTTCTTCCTGGACCTATCGGGCTCGTGTGGCTACAGCATCTCTCAACAAGCAGCATTATTCCACAGCATCAAGATGATGTTCAGGAACAACCCTGTGCTCATTGTCTGCAACAAAACAGATTTGCAGACCCTGGAAGGACTGAGTGGAGAAGACCTGAAGCTGGTCATGGAGATGAAATCCGCAGCACTGAAGACTCTCCCTGGTCAAGGAGGTGAAGCTGCTAATGACCAGGATGTGCTCCTGACCATGAGCACGATAACCGACGAAGGCGTGATGGCAGTAAAGAATGCAGCTTGCCAGAGGTTGCTGGATCAGCGATCGGAGCGTAAGATGAAATCCAAGAAGATGCCTAACGTGTTGAATCGCTTCCATGTAGCAATGCCAAAGCCGCGTGACCAAAAGGAGAGGCCAGTCTGCATACCCCAAGCAGTTTTGGAAGCCAGAGCAGAAGAGGCAGCACACGAGGAGAGAAAAACCGAGAAGGATATCGAAAATGAGAATGGTGGTGCTGGTGTGTACTCTGCCAGCTTGAGGAAGCACTACATTCTAGCGGATGACGATTGGAAGCTGGACATATTGCCCGAATTCCTCGATGGCCATAATGTGTATGATTTCATTGATCCGGATATCTTGCAAAGGGTTGAGGAGCTGGAACGTGAAGAAACAGCAGTAGAGGAAGATGGTGGTGACTTTGAGATGGAGGATGAAGATTTTACTGCCGAGGCTGAAAAAGACCTGCAAGAAATCAGGAAGAGGAAGAAGCTGTTGATCCAAAAGCATAGGATCAAGAAGAGCACTGCAGAAAGTCGGCCAACTGTGCCTAGGAAATTTGACAAGGACAGGAAGTTCACTACTGAGAGAATGGGAAGGCAGCTGTCAAGCTTGGGGATCGATCCTTCTCGTGCTATCGAACGTGCTAGGAGCAGGTCTGTCTCCAGGAAAGGAAGGAAGAGAGAGAGGTCTGTTGGTGGGGATGGTGAGGATGAAATGGAGATCGATGGTGGTTTGGATAACAAGAAGAAGCTGAGGCTGAGATCGAGGTCGATGTTGAGGTCAAGATCAGTGTTGTCTCAGCGGCCTCTTGGGGAGGTTGTACCTGGAGAAGGGTTCAAGGACTCTGCTCAGAAGATGAAAGCTGTTACAATGGCCAGGAATGCTACCAAGAAGAGGAACAAGGATGCTCGGCGTGGTGAGGCAGATAGAGTTATCCCGACGCTTAGACCGAAGCACCTGTTCTCTGGGAAGCGCTCCATCGGGAAAACAGATCGAAGATAATAGGCATTTAGAGGTTTGCAGGCCTACACATTCTAGTTCCTACAATGTTTTCTTCTTCTATCTGGTTAGCTTCTATGTTGCTGTTTTCTCTTGACCGATGATATATGTGCATGGCTTTTCTAATCTTGCAGGAAGGGTATGGATTCGGCTTGCTGTTTGAGTTTGACTATCATTTTGCTGCTGATTCTGGCTTGGCGTTATTAGGTGGTATATATAGAGGTGCTTATTCATTTTGTGTTCTCATTTCTGCTGAGAAATTGTTCTGGGAGTGAGGCTCTATCTATTTAGATTAGACATGGTCCTGTGGGTATTGCGTTAAAACTTTATGGGGAGCAGGGGAGATTTTGGGTAAACTACATGTTCTCTGAATTAAAGAATTGTTCGTGGGTTATGTTATGAAGTCGTTCTTCTGTTTCCCCTTGTATGGAAAGGTTAAAATGGCATTTCCCTTGAATCGAGTGGGCTTTTTTGCTCACCTAACACACCTAGGGAGTCCACTGTGTTCTGGACATCAAGGCCTCCTCTTTACCTATGTGATCTGTTGTTGAAAATCACAACAATTTACCCAGACCTAGATGCAGCTGCCTGCTTTGTTTGATGGAATCGAACAAATCACTTTGTCAATTTGCTTCACTGCCTGCAATGAACCCTGGGAAAATAGAAGAAGAAATCCACATTTTGGAATGCCAAATCCAATGAAGCTAATAATGAGCGCGAGAGAATTGCAGAAAGATGCTACCTTTATTGCAGTGGCATGGCCATTGATAGTTAACCCAATACATAATGAAGTTTTGCAGGATGCATGCATTGATTATTATAGGCGAAGCCAAAGTGTGATTATTGATAAGTTTCTGTTTGAGTCACTCGAGTGATGGTTGTGTCGGTGCTATCTTCTCTGAGATGCAGCAAACGCTAGAACAGTCAAGAGTATATGATTTTAGTTGTGTGTGCAGGTCGAGCAATAGATCAGCCCATCTCACCAATCATTCTATTTTCTTAACTCTGGTATGCAAGTTGAACGAGCGATGGCCCCTGATCCTGACCAGTGCCCAACTGCCCATCACTTTGGTGAAGTAAAGTGGAAAAAACAACGGGATTACTGTAACACAATAAATTCGCCATTGCCATTATCTCTTCACCTTCTGGCCCTCATACTGGAGACCGGGCTTCCGCTCCAGGTCCCTTCTCAAACTCCATTCTACGGTCGAGTTCAAACCACCACCACCCTTCTCCACGCCACCACATACTCCATTTCACGCCTTTAAGCTCTCAATTATTTGCAGACTCGTGAACCACATGAATTCACCTCTTTCCCTCTCTTTCTCCATCAACATTGTCTTCTTATTAATGGGCAAGTCACCGACAGCAGAGATCACAGTGTGACCTGCAGATTCCTTGCAGAGCAGAGAGATAGCTCGATCGTCAATGGCGACTTCCTTGCATTCCACGGATCCACGGAAATGGATTCTCTCACTCATCACCCTCACATGCATTCTCGGCGCTTCCCTTTTCATCGATCCTCCTGCAATCGGTACTCAGATTCTTGGGTACGTATAAAGCGTGCAGCTTCCTTTAATCTTCCCATTTTTCAGTTTCGTCGAAGTACTCTGTTTCTGATTGCTATGTTCTTCTTTGATTACTTTCAGGAAGCTGAACCGGGTTGTACCCGACGGTTTGACCGGGTGGTCGGTCCTGACCAGTCCGAATTGGAAAATCCAACCCCTCGCGGTCAACTTATCGTCGTGTCTCCCGGCAATCGGGCGACCCGGGAAGCTAGTCAACTGCTGCCCGCCCCGAACCATGCTGGACGACCCGGTATCCGACTTCGAGTTCCCCGACCCGGATACAACCCCGATTCGGGTCCGCCGCTTCGCCCACCGGCTCGACGACGACTACATCGCCAAGTACGAGAAGGCGCTTTCCATCATGAAATCTCTGCCGCACTCCGACCCGAGAAGTTTCACCCGGCAGGTCGAAATCCACTGCCAGTACTGTACCGGGTCGTTTCTCCAGCAGGGCTCCAATTTCCCTGTTCGGGTCCACAGGAACTGGCTATTCTTCCCCTGGCACCGGATGTTCCTCTACTTCCACGAGAGGATCCTCGGGAGCCTGATCGGCGACGAGACCTTCGCGCTGCCGTTTTGGGGTTGGGATTCGCCCGACGGGATGACCCTGCCGGAGCTCTACTTAAACGGGTCGTTCAACGACCACCGCCGCGACCCGACTCATTACCCGCCCGCCGTGGTGGATCTGAACTTCAAGAAGCTGGATCCAACCAGATCTACGCCGGAGGAGCAGATCCGGCTCAATTTGGCGCTGATGTACAACCACATGGTCTCCGGCGCCAAGACGGCGGAGCTCTTCTTGGGCTGCCCTTACAAGACAGGGGAATACGAGGAATGCCCAGGGACGATTGAGCGGGCGCCGCACAACCCGCTCCACATCTGGCTCGGGTCGCCGGACATCGTCGGAAGGGAAGACATGGGCGCCTTCTACGTCGCGGCGAGAGATCCGATCTTCTATGCCCACCACTCCAACGGCGACCGCCTCTGGGGATTGTGGAGCGAGACCCACAAGGGTTTCGACGACCCGGCGTTCCTGAATTCCTACACCTACTTCTACGACGAGACGCTCCGGCTGGTTCGGATCCGATTCAGCGACGTGATGGAGATGGACAAGCTCCGTTACCGGTACGAGGAAGTTGAGAACAAGTGGCTCGCTGCCCGGCCGGAGCCCTCGGTCTCGCCGCAGCTCGCCCGGCGAGAAATCAGGAAGAGGGAGGGGAACATTGTTCTTGACTTGCCCAGCAGCCGCTTCGGGCCGACCAGTCGGGTTCTCGATTCGACCATAACGATACCGATAGATCGACCGAGAGAGGTTTGTTATAGGAATCGAAGGAATGGAAAAGAACGGGAAGAGATCTTGGTCGTAGAAGGAATTGACGTGAAAGCAAACGATTACGTGAAGTTTGATGTTTACATCAACGTTGTGAATAGTACGATTTTAAGTCCAATTTATAGGGAATTCGTCGGAACATTCGTCGACATTCCAGGAGGCACGTCGTCGTCGAAGAAAAAGACTACGTTGCAACTTGGTATATCGGAGGCATTGGAAGATTTAGAAGCGGATCAGGATAGGACAATTTGGGTGACGTTGGTGCCTAGGACTGAAAGTTGCAATCAGGTAACAGTTGATGGTTTGAAGATCAACTATACGGAGATATGAAGGAGGTTTCACTAGTGATGTGATTATTGAAAGGTTTAATTAATTAATTTGAATAATTTCCTTTTACGGTACGAGTTTGCCGAAATGTGGGAATTTTTACCGTTGGGCTTTCCTTAGCTGATCGAATGAAGAAGCAGACGACGAAATTAAATGGAAGTGTTGATTTGGTTTGGTTTGGTTTGGGCTGGGCTTTTTTCTGTTAGCCTACTTGCAATCTTAATCCAATAAGGAAAATAGATTCATAGGAGAGAGGCCCAACTGTGTTTTTTTTTTTTTTGGTGAGGAACAGGGTGGAAGGGGCACCCCTAACCCTTATTCATTAATAAAACGAGGGGTTTGGATTCCAATGGCATCAAAGTACAGTCAATATCTGAGCGTAGCGCTCGGATTAACGAAACTGTGGACGCCCGTAGGCAACGAGTGACCCAAAGAAGCTAAATAGTCCGCACCAAAATTACCCTCTCTGAAAACATGCACGACCTACACCTCCCAATCTTTTCCCAGCCAGCGACGAATCTCTGAGACCAAGGTGCTATGCGGATGTCTCTATGGGGCCGCTTGGATTAGGTCAATGGCTGTCTTTGAATTCGTTTGAACCACAACATGGCGAAATCCTGCTTCCCAAGTAGAGGTGGCAATTAGGATCCAAATCCATGAATCCAATCCAATCCATCCACCTAATCCAATCCATTTAAATCCAATCCATTTGATCCAAATCCAATTGGATTGGTGGATTCATGGATCAATCCATGGATCCAAATGGCAAATTACGATTTGGTACCTATACTTTTTATGTTTTACATTTTGGCACCTAAAATTTATATTTTTATACCAAAAATATAATTGGAAAATTAGATTTTGGTACCTAAAATTTTTTGTTATGACATTTTAGTACCTAAAATTTTGAAAATTTAAATTTGGTCCAAGCCTTGGATGTCATTTGGATTCATGGATCAATCCACCAATCCATTTGATTCATGTATCCACCAATCCAATCCACGAATCCGATCCAATTGCCACCTCTATTCCCAAGTGATCCTCAGCCCGTGCATAATTCCTGCGAGCTCGGCATGGGTTATCAATCCACCCCCAAGATTAGCTGCATAAGCCTGTATTAACCTTCCCACGCTGTCTCGCACTACTCCACCTGCTGCCGCAGTGCCATTTGCTCCCGTCACCGAGCCATCAGTGTTTTAAAAAAAATACATTCTTAAAAAAAAATAAGGTTTTTAATTAAATGGACCGGTCGTCCTTTTACTCCCGCGGAATCGTAACCAGCCATCCTACCTACCAACCCCGGTAAAAGTTAAAACTTAAAACTAGGAAAGGCAAATGCATGCTCCAGCAACGTGGTGTTCCATTTAAATAAGTACTGACTAGTAAAATATAAATCAAGTGGCAGCCAAAAATCAAACAGTTTAAAGGTTACTGAAGAAGACAAGTCTTTAGTTTGACGTCGCCCAAGGCTCCGGAGACAGTAATCGAGAATTCAAATTCTGGAATTTCCAAATCTGGAATCGTTAGCTCATTGTACGTAAGATCGTTTGAATGATGAATTTTATTCAAATTTCATCACATCAATGTACTATCCAACTTTCTCGCCCTTAATCCCTTCGTCTTGATGCTCTCCCAAATAAGCAAGATTTGTCAATTCCGTCACTCGGAAATGGAAAAATTAACACAATTCATTCTCTATGATCATATATCCAATAATCCAAACAACAATATTTCAATGTTTCAATCAATTTAAATTATCAAACTGGAATTTCCCTAGTTTCAAAATTCCACGAGAATTCGAATTTCTTCTTTTAAATGACCCGTATAGTCAAACAACTGATATTATCCTGTTTTGGATTTTTAACTATGAAATTGTACTATCAAGATGTGTTCTCCCCGAGAGAAAGTATAATCTAAATAATGTGTGATTACAATATAGGTATAGAGCTAAAGTATTAGAGGGCAAGTCCCAGGATCTACGCTGGATCGCGAGGAAAATTATTAAATTAGTTATAGTAGTTGAGAGTGGCTCCCCGGATTTCATCAAAATTTATCTAATTTGTAAAACAAAAAACTCTATTTCTACCATGGAGGAGGACAAGTGCCACATGGTGGGTTCTCGGGAGACAAAATGGGTAAATTTGATATAATAGTTAATTTATAATGAAAATTAGGGTGTGTCTAATTGAGAATGGATGACCTAGAGGTCTTATATTCGAACCTTGTCAACTCCATTTGGTAAACACATGATAATCGGGTTTGTGCAAACTTCAAACCATAAAAGATGGATTTTACACGAGAAAGTGTGCTGGTAAATGGTATAAGATCAATTATTCAACCCAACAACTTAGGTAATGGATAATAAACAGTACTTAAAGAAGCAAATCATCTGAAATCGGACAAATAACTAAATAATAAATATTCGTTTCATTCACATAGAGCAAGGTTATCAACCCACAGGTCGACCTGGACCCGATTGAGCTAGTGGGTCATGCGTTAATGGATCACCCGGTGTATCCCGAAATTCATCTAAAATATAAAACATCTCAATCTCAATTCGTGTTCGTTTGCATTTATTGGAAGTTGGAACCAAGTTCCAAATCCAACTAAGTAACTAACCCTTACCAGTAATTCAATCGAATTAAACAGAGGGAGGAAGTGCGATCGGCAAGGTCGAGCTGATGGAAGGGCAAGGGCGACCGAGCTCGAGCTGTCGATTGTCCATGCAGGGGCGATCGAGCTTGAGGGAGACACCAGATGGAGGCAGTGGCGACAACTCTAGGTGGGGGAGACTGAGCGGTGCGGCTGAGTTGTGAAGGCCGAAGGGAGAAGACTCCCTCGGCGACTTGGAGCGCGCCGCCGATGAAGGGAGCCCTGGCTTGGCGATGGCGATACAGCGGCTCTCCTTCTGCTTCACACCTTCTCCCAGACGACGACGATAGGTTGCGCGAAATGGAGTGGTAGGTAGCAGGTAGGGTTTTCGTTTCCAGACCCTGCTCTCCTTCTCGCCTTCTTCCAGACAGAAGCGACGCCGCCCAGCCAGAAACGACGCTCCATGTGATCGACCCGCTGACCCATCCAAACGGGCTAACCACCCGGTTTTGACCGGGTTTCGTAGGGTTTGACCAGTCCCGGGATAACAGGCAAAAGGGTCGATATGACTCGTTTTTTAGTACGGGTCTGAGCCAACTCGGATAGGGCTGGTAATCGGTCGGTTACCGGTTAACCGGTAACCAACTAACCAGTTAACGGTATACCGGATTAGGGAAAATCACTGCCGACTACCGGTACCGAAGAATAGTCGGTTTACCGTTTACCGAATAGCCGGTTACCGGTTACAAACCCGGTAAATCGATAACCCCGACAATAATGAATTTTTCCCAGCGGCGAGTGACCATTATCATGTTCCGGCCGCGGCTCCGAAACTGAAATCGAGAGGGAAAAGAGATTTGGCTTCGAGATGAAGACATTATCGCCGCGCAAGGGAGTTGCATGGTGCCGGATATGGATTCGAGAGGGTGAGCGAGTCACCGGCGGTGTATCCGGATCTAGAATCGAGAGTGACTAAGCACCGCCGCGCGAGGGAGATAGCATGTCGCCGGATCTAGCCTCGAGAGGAAGAGAGAGTCGCCGCGCGAAGAGTTTGCATGTCATCTGATTTGGAATCGAGAGGCAGATCGAGAGCGACTCGTCGTATTTTCCCAACAAAATCTGGAATTGGGTTCTGGGTTCTCCATAGCAGCGGCGGCGAAGGCGGCAGAGGAGTGGAGAAAGGGGGTGGCTAGGCGAGCACCGACGAGCCGACGAAGAACAGAGTTATTTCCAGATCTGGCGGCGTATCGGAGACCCTCTGAGATGACGAATCGACAACGGCGTGGTCGAGGTCAACGAATCGAGAAAGAGAGGCGGAGGGTTTCATCTGTTTATGGATTTGAAGAGATTGTTTCTCGATGGAGATTGAGAGAGGAGAGAACATAGGAGGGTGTTCATGGGTGTAGAGGGGATTTTTTCTCGATGGAAATGGCGAGAGGAGAGAACAGAGGAGAGGACGGAAGGGGCATTAATCTGATGGAAAAAAGTGGTTTTGGATTATATATCGGTATATGCAGTATTACCGATTAACCGCCGGTTATTAATCGGGTCTGGGTCGGTATACCGTTAGCTTTGTTTCCCCTACCGAATACCGAAACCGCCCGGTTAACGGTTAACCGGTAACCGCCGGTTACCGGTACGATTACCGGTTAAACCGTTAACCGGATAATCGTTTATCAGCCCTAAACTCGGATCGACCCGCGAGTTGACAACCTTGACACAGAGTAATATTGTAGTATAGTATCGACTACCATTGTATTTTAATTAGTCAATTTTTCAAATATAATATTAAATCGTTAATGATTCAAACCCAATATAATATTAAAACCAAACCCTACCCGCCTATTAATATATTTAGAAACACAAGAACACAATACATATTTGAAGTTCGTAGTCAGCAGACCATCTCGAAGATTTTCCTCGTTTTGCTTGTGACCATATGTGATGACATGGACAAGTTTAGTATGCAAGCTCTGATTCGGCAATGTCAAATCGCCGGAAGAAAGACCTCTTCGTCAACTCCATTAACGAGTTCTAGAAACAAACACGTGGTGATAAAAAATAATATCATTATAATATATTCTTTTTGTTATTTGGCAAAGAAAAAGGAAGGAAACTACCAAATGGGAAAAGAGAAAATGAAGATGGTGTGTAGGGATGGCAATGAATATGGATCGAGTTTTGTCAAAACCAAATACAAATTTTTGGGTTTATCCGTCAAAAAAATTCGAGGTAAAACTCGCTATATCTGAAAAAATCAAATCCAACCCAGTCCAGTGGTTATTTGTGGGTTCAGGGGTACCCGTGAATTTTTTTGTATATTTTTTTTAATAACAAGTTTCTTTCAAAATAAAAGTCTTAACATAAATTTTCTCATACAAAAAACACCAATCTAGAGCATACAAGCAAACCGCAAATTATCAATACAAATTATTCAAAATTAAAGATAAATATCTATAAACAATATGATTAATTGAAAGTTTCTTCCTCCTTGTCAACTAAGTTTCTTTACTCTCTACTCCATAATATCAACTTCATTCCACACAATTAGAAAGAACAAATTGGACATGTCTCTACAAACATAAAGAAGAATAGTTGTTTAAGGAAGATATATTGCTTAGAATACTATATATACCGAAAAAATTAATTATATGGGTGTGGGGTACCCATGGGGCGGGTATATCTAAACCCAAACTCAACCCAACCTGTGAATAGTGTAGCGGGTTTAAACCCAAACCCAGTCCGAAACCCGTCAACACGGGTTTTACCCGCGTTGACCGGGTTGCGTACCCGTGGGTTTGAGGTTTGTTGTCATCCCTACTGGGGTACATGGCTGTTAAAATTAGTGTCCGACCTGTCAGTTCAACCCGATCCGACCAGAGCGTGTATCCTAAACAATTGCCAGAAAGTCGTTTCCAAAGCAATCGGAATTCGATCAAAACTAGGAGGTCTGACCTTCTTTGGGCCTTGGCTCTGAATCACACGACACCGTTGATCGACAATATATAAGAAAAAAAATGCAGAACATCACAATCACACTCCGCAATCACTCCATCTCTTTCATACATCCCCTCTCCCAAACTTACGAACCCTAAACATGGGAAAACAGCTAAACAAAAGGAGGGAGAGGCTCGGTCTGTCCGCGTCATACTCCCCCGGGGTGGAAAAAGTTTTAAACCTCTCGTTACCAACTCCATACTATACTATACCACCATGATATGAGGTGGTATTTTTCATACTATATGGTATGCTGTTATTTAATACCATATGGTATTGACTGGTATTAAATAATTTCATACCATATGATATGATATGCTGTTATTTAATACCAGTCAATACCATATGGTATAGACTAGTAATAACTGGCAAATTTTTTTTTGTTCTAAAAAATATCAAAGTGGATATCATTTTGAAGAGCACAATTAATCTGATCTAATTGTGCAAAAAAAAAATTAAATTCCGAGTTAAAACGAGTGAGAAATTGTCGGTTTAAGATTAAGGGAAAGAAAATTAATGATTTTTCCAGGAGAGAGAAGGTGGCGCTGATGTGGCAGATTCTTATTGGGTTATGCATGAGATTACTCACCACAAGGTTACTCACCGGATCTGCTCCTAGGAACAAATGGGTGCTCGGTGACCGGTTCTCCAAGAGTCCAAGACAAAGATTACTCCGTTAGTCATCAAAATCTTTAATCGCCAGTTTATATGTAAATATCTTAAAACATTTATAAATTGTTCAAGAAATCGAACCTCGATCCGACCGCTAAATCTCAAACCGTTTGTTGATCGGCTCAATAGCTCAAACCTGTTTAACAACCTTGTCGTGGGCTTCTTCTGGTTGTTTATTTTTATCATTGTATTGAGGCTGGCTGATGGCTGCTTTTGTCTCACGAGCTCCTACTTACCCCTTACCCTTACCTACCACCACCACCACCACATGTCGCTACCCGCCAGCCCGCCTGCCGGAGCTCATATCCACCGTCCGTTCGTCCGTCAGTCGTCCTCTCCTCCCCTTGGTATGGACATGGACCTTTTTTTTTATAATATAGATTTTTTGGGGGGGAATTAAAAACACATGGTGGATGATTAAATACCCATTTTTATTAGCTGTCGATTAATTGAATATATATTCATTCATCTTTAGGGTCACTTGCATGATGATCTTGCAACAGTGATGATAGATCGTCCTTTACAATTTAATTATTTAGGGCAGCCAACGAGACGAGTTCCGAGTACTAGCTCAGAATTATTTTATGAACGAAATCATGAAGTCACATGGAACACGGATTGATTGCTAGCTAACAAAATGGAATCTCCACTACATCACGAGAAGAAAGATACACCGATTTAAAATATATTAAGTGATTGATTGATCTCCTTTCTTTCTAGGAGATTCAATTCATTTCGAGGTCCGGGTTAGATCACAGACGATGATGAGGTCAAATTATGGTTTCTACGTAAATGTGAGATGAAACGAATTTCATAGTCTAATCGATATGCAGGATTGTAAGTTCCTATGGATGAGAGGCGAGCACCAGGTGGTTGAACCCACGAATTCAGCGCAATTGGTGCTTATGGATGAGTGTGGGTTTTAAAATATGTGATCCCCTAAAAATTAGGTGAGTACGAGTGAACTGTACTAGACACACAACCCATCCAACTTTTCAACCTCAAACTAACCAAACTCTTAAGCATACCGCGTATCTACTTAAACAAAACTGAACCCTCAAAACCATGTGGTCTTTTGAATCAATTCGAACATGTGGTTTTTTGAAATTTATGTTGTAAATCTATAAAATCCGGCCCAACCAAAGGTCTGATTCATTTGGACATAAGGTCGAATCGAAGATGGATGTCGGTTCAATCGATCTTGACTGGATTCTAACGCTTTGTAGCTGAAATTACCTCATCATAGGCACTATCCATAAATTGGAAGTACTCATAGAGACAATGAGTTCGTTGGTGAAAAATGAGAGATGTAAAATTGAAATACATACAAGAATCAAATAGTTAAATTAAATATTTTTTGAGCCGATATTTAGAAATTTTCAGGGCCACATTTAATAACTCTCAAATTTTATCATCATTAAAACTTTCCAATTTCTTATGTGAACAAATTTCCCCTTTTTTTATGGAAAAAAAAAGCCATCTATCATTTCGGGAGAAAGAAAAGCTTGTCATCCTGAAATTTATCAAGCTTGTCCCATTATCTTTGTCACCTTAACCATATGGCCATTCCTCCGCCATGGTTTCCCTGCTCCCACTTCCACAGCTCCACCGCCTCCACGTATTACCTCCTCTCCTCCCACCAACCATTCTGCCAGTCCAATGGCAAAGCCAATCCCTCTCACATCCTCACAGTAATAATAAGATAATATTCCACTTTACCAAATACATTTGGAATATTCTACCCACAAAAAAAAGAGAGAGAAAAAATAAGCTTATAGTAATTACATATTTCAACATTTATATCAGACTCCAAACCCACATTCCAGGCAAACAGCTTGGAGAGCTAGCTAGCTAGCTTCCATGGATCCACAGAAATGGATCCTCTCTTTCACCCTCATCTGCATTCTCGGCGTCTCCGTCTTCATGCTCTCCGCCATGGATTCTTCCTCAATCCGTACTGAAATCATTGGGTAAAACTCTGTTCCCCTCTTCCTCTTCAGTTCAGCGCAGCTTACCGTGACTCTGCTTCTTACTCTGTTCTCCTCTCCATTCTTGGATCTGGAATTTTTTTCCCCTTACAGGAAGCTGAACCGGGTTGTACCCGACGGTTTAGGCGGGTGGTCGGCGGCGTTGACCAGTCAACCTTCCGGCAAGAAGCTGAAGGGGAAGCTCCTCCCAGTGCAAGTCAACTTGACGGTCTGCCTCCCGACATTCGGCCGACCCGGAAAACCCGTTTACTGCTGCCCGCCCCGAAACATGCTGGACGACCCGATCGTCGACTTCGAGTTCCCCGACCCGGCCACCACCCCGATTCGGGTCCGCCGATTCGCCCACCGCCTCGACGAAGAATCCATAGCGAAGTACGAGAAGGCGGTCTCCATCATGAGATCTCTCCCTTACTCCGACCCGAGGAGCTTCACCCGGCAGGCGAATCTCCACTGCCAGTACTGTACCGGGTCGTTTCTCCAGCAGCATTCAACCCTCCCGGTTCGGGTCCACAAGACCTGGATCTTCTTCCCCTGGCACCGGATGCTGCTCTACTTCCACGAAAAGATCCTCGGGAGCCTAATCGGCGACGACACTTTCGCAATTCCGTTCTGGCCTTGGGATCTGCCCGACGGGATGACGCTCCCGGCGTTTTACCTAAACGGGTCGCTCATCAACCACCAGCGCGACCCGACCCATTTCCCGCCCGCGGTTGCAGATCTGGACTTCCAATTGGCCCCCGGCGGGACCAGCCCGGAGGAGCAGACGGATCTGAACCTGGCCCTGATGTACAATCAGATGGTCTCCGGCGCCAAGACGGCGGAGCTGTTCATGGGCTGCGCCTATAAAACAGGGGAAGGCGGCGATTGCTTCGGACCCGGGACCATGGAGCGGGCCCCGCACAACACGATTCACAAGTGGGTCGGGTCGGCTTTCCACACCGGGCGGGAGGATATGGGTGTTTTCTACTCCGCCGCGAGGGACCCGAGCTTCTACGCCCACCACTCCAACATCGACCGGCTCTGGGAGGTCTGGCGGGCGACCCACCCGGAGGTCAACGACCCGGAGTTCCTCGACTCGTACATGTACTTCCACGACGACACGAGCCGGTTGGTCCGGATCCGGTTCAGGGACGTCATGGACATCGACAAGCTCCGGTACCGGTACGAGGGCGTCGAGAACACGTGGCTCGCCGCCCGCCCCAAGCCTTCCGTCTCTCCCCGGCTCGCCCGGAGAGAGATAAGGAAGAGGGAGAAGGAACAAAACGTTCTTGAATTCTTCGGGAGCCACTTCGGTCCAACCGGCCGGGTTCTCGGTTCAACCGTGACGGTCCGAGTGGTCCGACCGAGAGCGGTCCGGAGCAAGGCTCGCAGGGAGAAGGAGCAGTTGGAAGAGATATTGGTCGTGGAAGGGATCGACGTGAAAGCAGACGATTTCGTGAAGTTTGACGTGTACATCAACGTCGTGAACGGCACGATCATGAGCCCGAAGTATCGTGAATTCGTCGGGACGTTCGTCGACATCCCGTCGGGGTCGTCGGTGGGGAAGAAGACCACGTTGAAGCTCGGGATATCGGAGGCATTGGAGGATTTGGAAGCGGACCAGGATAGGGCGATTTGGGTGACGTTGTTGCCGAGGACTGAAAGTTGCAATAAGGTAATAGTTGATGGGTTGAGCATTCAGTATAGTAGGAAATGAAGGGACGTGGGTGCATTTTAATTATCGTCACGTAGCATTTATCACTCAATTTGAATGGCGTCGTCGGACCATGGTTATTTGTTGGAGGGCACTGGGATATTTTTGCATGAATTAATTATATGGGGTACCATTTTGGTTGTGTGGGAAAATTATGGGACCATGTTAGGGGGGTCGATCGTTGTCATAATAGAAGTGAAAGGTCCGACGTTGGATTACATTTCAACAAATGGACAAGTTGTTGATAATAAATTTATGTATCATATTGATGTTCTTTGAAAGCAACGTATTGAGGAAAGATTGTAAATTTAGTAGTAGTGGTATAGTACAAAAAACACAAATAAGAACTCCACCCATGTGTTATTTACGGCTCATTTAAAGTATAATCATGTAATGTTCTACCAAGTGCTAAAATCGCGAATGAATGAACCTTTCGACTTCTTGAACCCAAACGTGTTGATCGAGTGGTTTGGATGAGTGAACCGGAGATGTACACATTCATTACAGATGTTGTGATAATTTGGGAATTCGGATATAGTGAAATAGAACATTTGATCATCGTGTCGTAATTGTTTTAGACGGATACATATTCCGTAGTACAACTTGATCATAAAATATCCTATCACCTACATGTTTGCACGATCTCGTGCGGATACAGCTTTACAAACCTTTTTTATGGGATGATATTACAATTCTAGACTGCGCGCTCATGACCTCATCAACCACTTCATTTCCCGATGATATGAGTTTCCCGCTACGAATTAAGAAGGCTTAACTTTCAAGATATGAAATATACGAGAAGTATTTTATATTTACAAGTGAAAACGACAATACTCCTCTCTCACTGGGAGGTCAATATAATGAATCAATCACTTTAACCACAATACAGTACTGGTAATTACTAATTACCTCCCCCACACAAAAGAAAAAATAAACTGTACATTGACAACACAAATTCCCAGTAGATACTGTTTTCAGGGCATGGAGCTGGGATTGCCACCATTGCCAGCTCTAACAATTTTGGACCCAATCCTGAAGAACTTTGGGGCAGCCCTAATCCAATATCTCCCACCAATCATCTCCTTGCTCAAGAAAGGCGAAACCTCCCCAGCTGACAGCTTCTTGGACCATTCCACCCTGTTGGATCTGTCAGCTCCAGGCCCATAGTTCTTGTACTCCCCATAGAACACAGTGCTGCAAACAATGACAATGAAACCACAAATCCACAATACAAAAAATCAGAGACCATCATTTTTAAGTCATTGTCCCAAAAAGGGTCTTTGATTTTTTTTTTTTTTTTTTATGTTAGGAAATACCTGTGCTTGGTTTGGTCTCCCCAATCACTCCATCCAGCTGGCAGGACAACAGAATCCATGTAGGAATAGGCAAAAACAACCCTGGAGTAAGCACCCCATGCCCTCCCCAGCAAGGTACTCCCAGTTCCGGTTACCTTGCACCCCAAGAAAGTGTACCCTGTTTCGTCCGACTCCTCGTCTCTGTGCTGCGCTGTGATCGAGTTGTTGCCCTCTGAAAGTGAGTGGATATGGCATTTCTGCACAATTCATGCACAACGTACAACAGAGAACAAGAAGCTCAGAAAATTGAACAAAGGAGGCACTACTAATTGAGCATGAACTGGAAGCAATTATACCTCGAAGAGTGAGGTAGCATGGCCACAGATGAAGTCTGTGGCTCCTTCGATGTAGCAGTTGCTGTAGTAATGGGATCCACTGTCGTCAAGAAGGGTGTCCTGATACGACAGTATTCTGCAGGCGTAGAATGCAGCCTTGTCTCCTGATACCCTCAGCGCCACTGCTTTCCCCCCGCTCCCAAACGTGTTCTGTAACAACCAGTGTATTAAGAAACTGGTCGTGACAATAATTTGAGTGGTTGAAAGAGAATCAATTGTGTATATATTTCGCTTTCACTGTAACTTGTCTCGTTTGTTTTTTGAAATTTGTATAGACCCAATATATTACGTGGCTAAATTATTTTATTGGCATAGTAGGTATTTCTTGCTCGCTCACACTTCATGACGGGTGGAAGATACTACCGTAAATATGTTGTATGAAAGAATTTAACAAAATATAATGGCAAAACTCAAAAGTAGGGAGAAAAATCACTAGATGTTGTGGGGGGAGCTCTATAGCAAGTTGCACTCGTGCACCCATGAGGTTACGAATCAGAGAAGCGCGATATACATACTATCGAGTAAGACCAGGTTGAAACCGTCGAGTCAAACTCTTATTAAAATACTATACATACTTATAAACTTGTGAAACAAAATTGCCTCAGATTCCAAAAATAGCTATATGCTAAAAATAAAACAATTATTCCATTACCTAAATACAACTTCAAAATGAGATAGTTGGCATCTTAAACGTGAAGAAGATGAATTCAAGTGACGGAGAGAGATTGAATCATTCTAATAAGAAGATCGAAATTCTTGCGGTGATTTCCGTCCCCGACATTAGTTATTTCTCCATCTTCTATTTTTGTTCCTTCTTGAGAGAGAGAAGTAGACAACTCTAGAAGGAGACCACAAAAAAAGCATGAAAAAGAGGGAAAGAAGCACCAAGAAGAATGCTCCTAAAGTCCTATATGAATGCCCCTAAAATTTGTGTTATTTACCACTAAACCGCTTAATAAATAGTAATAAGAATAAAATTTCAATAAATGATTTTGATACCATGATACGAGTCAAGTCATCCGACTTGAATTGTTGAGAAATATACAAATACAATCTTTCAAATAAAAATTAACTCATTTGTTCGAAAATTTTCCAATTCACATGCTTAAATCATTTGAAGAGACTCAAAAAAGGTTGTGCTTTAAAACTCGATCACGAAACATGTGAACGGAAGACTCTAGTAGTGCCGTATATCAAATACCAATTCTTTGATGTACGAATGCGACGATTACATTGACGTATACCTGAATGGTGAGGAATCTGCCAACGAAGAAAGGAGCCAGAACAGAGAGAGTCGCGGTCTCAAATATGTCGCCTTGCTCGCTCCATGTGATGACGGTACTGTTGGCACCCTGGTTGCCACTTAGAGTTATGAAAGGCTTGTCCTCCGGAACCACGACTTTCTCCACGTAGACTCCAGGCTTCACCCATATGAAAACCAGCTCAGAGTTTCCCGAAGGAACAGAGTCGATGGCTTCCTGAATCGTCCTGAAATCCCCTTTCCCTGACTGATCCACCCTTATCAAGTTGGCGATGGAGAAGCTCGTCGCAAGAGACAGAGCCCCCGAAGTCATCGTTGGAGCTCGAACAATCAGGAAAACGGCGGCCAGAAGTTGAATGTAAAGCTTCACCATTTTCGACGGAACAAATCCCATGTGCGCCTACACAAGAAACCAGGATTTGGGTTTTTTTCGCCTCGGTGGAAGTGCAGCGGATCTATGTCGTGCTGAAGGGATTGTGTTTGTTTTGGGAAGTTGGGGTTGGATGATGGGTTTGAATGGATTGTAGCGAAGGTGTTCGACGAAATGTTTATAAGGGGAAATCGGGATTCAGGGAGGAGCCGATATCTTGGTGTTGAAGTCGTGTTGGGGAAGACGATGGAGATCAGTTTAATTTGGGGGGATGTTTAACGTGAGTTGGCATTGTAGCAGCGGAGGAAATCCGCCAGCTTTCTATCCATTTCGTCTGGACTTTGGATATTGCTTCGAAAGTTGGAAGCACAGCGCTGCCACCATGATTTGTGAAGCGTGTGGCGCCGCCTTAATCCTGTTCATGGCTATGTTTTGCAAGACATTCTTTTTGGGAAGCTTGTTATCAGGAGAACAAGCATAATTTCAACGGCTTGCGAAACAAGGCATCGCGTCCCGGCCGGAAAATGGGCTGGATTTGGGGACGGCGACGACTATGATCGACGGGAATTCGGCGATTGTTAATTGGAGATTTTTTATGAGACCATGCTGTATTTGGTGTCAATTGAATTGATTAAATGTACTTAAATATTTTGTTCGAGCTGACAAGCAACATGGCGTTGGTGTTAGCTTGAGGATTTGTGGAAGACAAGTTGGCTGAGAAGCACGTAGGATATATCACAATTTAAGTATAGAAATCTTTCGTTAATGATAGAGTAAATTGTACAGTAATCTAGATCTTCAATGAATTAATCATCTCAGTTCTCAACTACAAGAAAAAAGCAGCAGGTTGAAGTATTCTTAGCGGATTACTCAACTTCGAATGTTGACCGAGGTATAAAATGTTCTATATAAAATCATAGGAAGTACTTAGAGCTCGTATCTCATATCTCCTTATTAATTATTGCGTTTTAAACCATTATCAAGAATTGAAAGTTGGAAGCAAACTAGGATCTACCAATAGGATTGGACATTGGCGGATCTAGATTGAAACTAGAATGGAAAGTAGTCACCTCTCAGTTTTCAAATATAGATAAAATTACATATAAATATTTGCACAAACTTTCAATAAGACTTTAACCCCCCAGAATTACTGCAATTAAAATCACCCCACTCTCTTCTCGTTTGGATTTCTGGCTCCACACGTGCCACAAGCCTATCATCGGATATTGATCATTTACTATTTTTCCTGCAAACATGTTGTGGCCTTGTGGGCGGATCATCCAGTTCCTTGTGCACGAAGCAAATATCAAGTGTTATATTGTTCGCCCACCTATGGGAAGAGTGAGCTGGATTGAGTTTAAACTCCATATCATCGTGAGACATGTTAATTTTATCATACTAGTAATGATGTTGTGGAAAAATAATCCAACATAGATAACCAATTATAATTATATTGATTTGTCTCAATTGGTTATCTGGTGCGGTGCTCTTTTACCGAGTTATTTCCTGGATGGTCAGACGGTTCAACTTAAAACAATGCAAACTTGCAGAAAAGGACCATCAAATTCCAACAAAACCTGCTTTCAAAATAAAAACTCTAACAAAACCAAGCTTTTTTTTAGAGTGATGATGATGAATAAAGTAGGAATCCCAATGGTCGGGTCGAGCGCGAATAATGCATATTCGTCACCCTATGCATAATAGTTCGGGTTTTACCCATATCCATACCCACATGTGAAACGGGTAGAAAATCAAAATCATGCTCATACCCTAGAATGAAGAAAATCAATTAAAAATACACAATTTCATGAAAATATTACATTTATATGCTAAATATAAAATATGTGAAGAGAAAAATAATGATTATTTCTAGACAAAATACATATGCATGTGTATAATTGGGCAGATTCGGGTTGGATAATGAGAAACTCATGCCCACCCATTACATGCAATATTTGGGTCGGATTGTACACGTACCCACTAAATGTCATTCGAGTTCGGATTTTCTCCTATCCAATTAGGCCGAATTCTGGCAGATATCCACGATTACGAATATTTTTGCCATCCATAGAATAAAGATTGTTAGGGCGACGATTAGCTTTGGGCCCATTAGAAGACACTACTATACGGTGGAGAAAATTGTGCTTTTTTAGGCCTATTTCGGACAAAGCGTTCGAGCCCGCCCAACTTTGAATCATGGATGACTAGAGAACTCAGAACTGGCCCAATATGAAGAAAAGCCCACCTCTCCGACTATAAAGAAGCAGACGCCGTCTTCTCCCCCTCCAAAGCGAACCCTAGGCTGTCTGCAAGCTCAATTGGATTCTGTTCATTCCGCTTCCTTTTGCTTTCCCCAAATCTTCAACGGATAAATTCGTTCATCAATCTTCGCCATTCCATTCTATCGCTGTTGCCAATTAGTATTTTTGAATCCAAAGTTTCCGTTTGAGTTTTCTTGTTCGTCTTTAAGGTAGCGGGGGAAGGTGCGGTGATGATTAGATGTTGTAAAACATAATCTCGTTAATCTGATCCATTTCTGTGAGGATCAACCAAACTATCCATTCCTTCTGAGCACACCCCTGCTCCTCCCTTTTTCGGCTGCTCAGTTTTATCTTCCTTTCTCTGGTCATGGAGATGGAAGTTTTTGATTTTTCAAATCCTTTTGAACTTGCGTTATATTGCATTGTTGTGACGATTCGTTCTCTGAATGAATATTTATGGATCTGGGTTAATAGAAGATTTGGGAATTCAACTGCATTGATATAGTCCTGTATCGCCGGCAGTTGCTCCGGCGAGTGAATCCGAGCTATTGCACTCTCCGAATGACCGAGGCCGGTTACGGTTCAGTTTGCCGAGCCCATTAGCTTGTTCATGTTGGACCTGAGGGTTTCTTAAACCAATCTGGGCTGGGCCGGATTATATGCCTCTTTGCTGTTTTTATGGCTTGATGGCCCAATTATATTACCAATAGTCATCCTTTAAAAGCTTCTAGAAACCCAACGAGAGACAAACGCCGCGTGTTATTCTGTCAGTTAAATACCAAATGGTCCGTCAACCGATTCGTTTCAACAAATCGACCATCAAATTAACTGGTTTGATAAGTTTAATAGCTGTAAATGTGAATCTATGCAATTTCAAGTGCTACCTAATCTTTCAAAATATGGTGAAATTTGACAAAGGTCCATCAGTAAATGAAATAGTTTGAAAATTTTTACACAGGACTGATTTATCAGTACACAGTAGTACAGTGACCATTTTGATATTTTACCATCTTTCTATTAGTCAGGCAATGATTGATACGGTTCAAACACGTCAAATATGGTCGCCGGCGGCTGGCTGCCAGAAAAGTCGGCCCCTCCAAATCAAATATCATCGCCGACAGAACGAAAACGAAGTTCCCCACTAACATTTCCATAAAACCGCAATTGTCAAGATTCTCTGTCTGAAGAAAAAATACCCTATTGATCTCTTTGACAAATCGAGAAGCAGCCAGCTTCGGGGAGGAAATCAAAGTCTGTACAAGAAGGGGGTGGAAGAAGAAAGAAAGAAAATGGAGGTGTTGAAGGAAGAGGAAGAGTACAACTGGAGGGAAGTAAAGCTGCCATCTTTGATCCCGATTGTGCCAGAACCAGAGCTGGAGAGGGAGAAAGGGGAGAGAAGGAGAGGGCGAGATATTGTCATAGCTATCGATCATGGACCCAACAGCAAGCATGCCTTCGATTGGGCTCTCATCCATCTCTGCAGGCTTGCTGATACTCTCCATCTCGTTCATGCCGTCTCAAGTAAATCTTAACAACCTTTTCCTTTGGGTGGTTTCTTCTCGTACAGGGGTCAATTTTGTTCTTCTCTTATAAATTGGTTTTGTCTTCTGATTTGGGGGGTGTGCAGGTGTGAAGAATGATGTTGTGTATGAGATGACTCAAGGGCTTATGGAGAAGCTTGCCATTGAGGCATTTCAGGTCGCTATGGTGAGTAAACAAACGTTCCCTTTTCCTTGTTGTTACTGCAATTTGGAATGTGATGGTTGATTTTTAGTTGATACAAGTAAAATCTTTCCATCTAGTTTTTGCTGTGTTATGATGGATTAATGATCTTGTCTTGTTTGGGGCTGTGGATATTGCATCTGCTCTGTTGGGAAGATGGTATCCAGATCGTTTCGAGTCTGCAATGCATAAGCAATGGGAATTCAGATCTAGCTTCCTTAGTCACTTAAGCCCTTGACATACCATCAATTTCATATGATATGAACAATGGCGATGGAACGAGTGTTTCTGTATCCATTCATACCTTCTAAATCATGAAAATCAAATTCGATGACTTGGATATTTCATTGTCACTTTGTTGTATGTCTCCTTGCCCTTTAACTGGATGGCTGATGCAATGGCTCTGCTTCAGTGTGGGAAATGTAGAGAACCGTGGACTTGAATTGCGTCGAATTCGCTTAACTTGCTACCTGTGTGATGTTTGATAACTTCATATTTGCTTGATAATGTTGTTTGGGGACATAAAACAGGTGAAGAGTGTGGCTAGGATAGTTGAAGGAGATGCAGGCAAAGTAATTTGTAAGGAAGCAGAAAGGATTAAACCTGCAGCTGTGGTGATGGGTACTAGAGGCAGAAGCTTAGTTCAAAGGTCATCTATCAAATGCCTCCTTCTTCCCTCTTCCCCAATCACAACCCTCCATTGCTAATTTCTTCTATTGTGCTAACCTTTGTTTCTTCCCAACACGACCACAGTGTGCTGCAAGGAAGTGTTAGTGAGTATTGTTTCCACCACTGCAAAGCCGCACCTGTCATAATCGTTCCTGGGAAAGGTAATTTTTGCGCGAAATTTTCTGAAGTCTTTATGGATGGAATGTGTTCTTTCAACGCTAGTTATTGAGTGTTCTTGGGGTTGATCTGCAGAAGCTGGAGACGAATCATTGGTAACTTGGAACTAGCCATTGTTACATTGATAATGAAGAAGATGGAAATTAAAGTACAGTTTGGAGCATTAGAGAACCCTTGAAGCTGTGAGAACTTTTGTGTGATGAGTTGGTCAAGTGTTCTGTGTTGTGTGTGTGTATCATAGTACTAGATTTTCTTGTTTCCTTCGCCATTGTTGGTCAGATTGAGAGGTATAGCTTGAGTACAAGCTTGAAGCACATTAAGATTTTATTTTTTCATGCAAAATACAAAAAAAGAACGGTGAAATGTTGTGGCTTTGCGGATCCTATGCCTCTGCTGTTTGTAATAACTTCACCAATTCCTGGTTTGGTTACTGCTTTTGGAATGAATCATCTCATCTGTTTTCTCTTTAATCCTCTCATATACCACGAACTTTCCTTGATTTTCCACACATGAATAATTCTCTCCAAGCAAAACATCCCCACAAAAGAAATTGAAAAACTTGCTAGAAACCGAAATAAGCAACAGTATCACAGATTCCTTGTGTCTGTTTGGTCAACAAAGTAGTTCCAGCAGATGTGAACCCACCATAGCAGCCCACGGTATCAGCCAAAACAAGTCCCCTTCTTTCCCCACCCTCTACTTTTGAGAGGCAGCAAAAAGCAAAACCCACCACGGAAAAGAGTAAAAGCTAGTCCAGAAAGGAGTTGGATCTTCCATTACCAAAACCAATGGATTCAGACAGTTTGAAGGGAGAGAGGCAAACAGTGAAAGGGCTGGAAACTGTGGAGGAAGATGAGGTCTACGACAGCTGGAATGATGGAGCAGAAGTGGAAAAGAAGGAAACAGCAGCAACAATTAGAAGAAGAAGAAGCAAAGGAAGAGATATCATTGTGGCTGTAGATCATGGACCAAACAGCAGACATGCTTTCAACTGGGCTCTGCTTCATCTCTGCCGCCAGGCGGATACTCTCCACCTTGTTCATGCTCTTTCTGGTGAAATTTTCCTCTTTCCTGATGGAAATTTTATCTCTAGCTCTAAGATTTGAACTGCTTCTCTTCTCTGGTTTTGTTATGATTTGGATTCTTTCTGTTCTTCCATTTCTGTGTTGCTAGATTCCAAGAATAGATTGCTTTCTGACATGGCTGAAGGGCTGGTAGAGAAGCTCACAATTGAGGCTTTGAAAATGGCTAAGGTAGTACAGTTAACAAAGTCCAGTCCTTTGTTTAACCTTTGTCTTTCAATTGGCTCTCTAAGCAGAACAGAACAGGGAAGCTCCAAACTTTTTGTTCATGTCATTTATGGATCAGGTGAAGGCAGTTGGGAAAATAGTGGAAGGAGAAGCAAGTAAGGTTATTTGCAAGGAAGCAGAGAGGATAAGGCCTGTGGCAGTTGTACTAGGAACCAGAGGCAGAAGTCTATTTCAAAGGTTCCTTCTTTCTTTTCTCTATTCCTTCCTGTTCTTTATGAGATCATGAAAATAAGAACCCAGTTATTAGCCAATCTGGTTGATATGCTGATATTGTTGAATCGTGCGGTCGAAGAATCTCAATCGTTAGATGCATGCAAGAGTTGCGGGTCACATAATCCAACGATTTTAGAGCACGATGACGCCTACTCCTTTTAGCACACAGGCGGAATTTGTTACTATTGATGCCGTGGTTGAACATTTTTGTTTTGGGGTTTCCAGTGTGATGCAAGGAAGTGTTGGGGAGTATTGCTTCCACCACAGCAAAGCTCCAGTCATAATTGTTCCTATGGAATGTAAGTTGTGTTGTTAACCGATAATCTGTTTAAAGATATCGACTATTGTTCACTAAACTTTCTTTTGGTACTTCTTCTAATCCCACTTTTCCATGGTATGAAGGTATGAATGAAGCTTAGAGATGGTGAAAGAGGAGGTCAATGGTGGTGAAAGCAGGGAGTTGAAGCTCTTGGATTCACAGAGATTGGTTACTAATTATCTATGTCCATACCACTAAATTTTACGTTTTATTTCTTATGATAAGGTGAATCCCAAAAAGATGTGTATGTTTTGATCGATGAATATTAAAAAAAAAAAAAAGAGAGTGGATCTTAGATGAAATATTTGAAGTCACACCAAATGGCGAAGTGGAGTGAGAATTAATTTGATGAAGCTAGTAAACTACCAAGAAAAAGATCTGATATTTTTTTTTTACCTCGAGAAAGAAAAGAAGATTAAATTGAGAATTAAAAATCTAGTCCAAATCTTCTCTGGTTGGATTGTAATCAAAAGACACATTTGTCATTCTCGTTCCTAGACTTGCATCATATAGTGGAATCGTTCTATCTCAACACATCAAATTCTTACGAAAAATAGATCTGTAAATTGTGTGACATCTTGCATGCAATTAATCATTTCTAAATGTAGAACTTTAAGTACCATAACATAAATGAAAATCCTTTTTTTCTAGCCTTGACAACAAGACATGAGTATTGTATCAATCCTATCCACCACCCACATTCCACATATACGACTTATATACAACTTTGATGCGTTCCATTATGAAGAGGAAGATTGTGCTTTGTATTTGCGGGGAAATAAAATCGACAGTAGAGTAATATAATAGAAAAATGATAAACTTAGAATAATAAAAATTAATAGAAATATATGTGTCATTTTATAACTTGGTTTTCAACCATTAGTTAAACCTCAAGTTATCATGTGAGATTTTTAATTCATGTGGTCCATAGATTTGGAGCCAAAAATAAACTCAAATCCGTGAGCCCACATATTTGTCTCCAAATGTTTTGGCCAAGCAAACAAAATATTGTGACCAAATTTTGATACAAATTCATGAAGCAAACACCCTCTTAATGTTCCACCCTTGTCAACGTATAAATTTGGGGTGATTCAAAAGACTAATTTGCCGTTGAAGAATCATACTTATATAGCCATGCCTCGTGCAGTGGCATTGTTCTTCCGAATAATAGATCCATGTAAAATGCGACATCTTGCATGTAACCAATCACGTCTGAATGCATAATGATAGGCCCTAACACAAATCCTTTTTTTCTAGCCTTGACAACAAGACATGAGTATTATATCGCCCCTAACTCTAATAATAAACTACCTATATACCCCTAATTAAATTTAAAATTTAAACAAACCAAACAATCCCTAATTGCTCAAACCCAACTCCTCGTCTACCTTATTCCCGCCTCCCTCCCGACGCACTAGTCCGCCAACGAACCGTCGTCGCCCGTTCCCGACCAAAATTTCCAAAAACGCTCAACCTAAGGCAAGTTGTTGTTCCATCATGGGCCAACCGCAAATGAGTTGTGGTTCCCATTTTTTTGTTTTATTTTTTTAATTTTTGGAGTGAACTTTATCTCGTCGGAGTCGCTACTCATGATACAGACGTCCTACCAACGATTCCGGCTCCAAAATGACGATGATGGATTCTTTCTCTCTTGGGAAATATTCTTTTTATTTACTTAGTCTAAGTGGTGTTTGTTTGCTAAAGAGAAAGTAAAGAAGCTAAATGGTTAAAAGCGTAACTTTGATGTTTTTTAGGACGACATTCATCAATTTTAAGAGCGACATTTAGCAACTCCCTATATCAATCCTATCCACCACCCAAACTCCACATATACCACTTATATGTAGTGGCACTACTTACATCTTTGAGATAGCCATTGTGCAGTCAATTTTCAGGAATCCAGTTGCAACAAGGAGTAAAGACACAGAATTGGGAGAACCATCAACAAGTAGCTCCATAGCTGGAAACAAGTATTGACAAAAGGAGGAAAGAATCTTGGGTTGTTTTGTTGCTGTTTTATTATATTCCTTGGAATTGCAAAGTACAGACTTGGCAAAGCCAAGAAAGCTGCAACCAGAAAAGCTGAGACAGAGAAGAAATTGCAACAGTAGGGAGGTGAGTGAAAAATGGGGCCAAGAGAGAGGAGGAAGAAGAAAGGGAAATTGGGCTGGAAAAGGATAGGCAGAAATTGTTAAATGTGTATTGCATCATCTTTCACAATCCAAAAGAGAATCAAATAGAGATCTTGTTGGGTTTGTGGATAGAGGCCCAGGCCCACTTCCCCCACCACCACCACCTCTCACTATTTCTTCTTCCTGTGGCTTGAAAATGAAGGCATGAGGCATCTTGTAAACTCATTCATTGGCCATTGTTATCAAAGGTACTGCAGGCAACCACCAGTTGTCTCATATTAGTTCAATATCTTCCCTTTTCTTATCCATTTCACATATGTGCAAGATGATAGTTCAAAATAGTTAATTTCGATAAGTTTGATTACGTAATATTATACTCATACATTCATTTTATTATAGCAACCCATCTGGTGGCGATTGTACACAAAGAGTGTTCAGTAACACCAAATTCGGTACTACTAGATAATCCAATTGTATCGTGTTTGATGACAAAGTATGCGGAATCACAAGCCATCATGAGTCGTAACTCTATATACGTGCACATCGCAACCCATATCCGATTTAACATTTTGCCACGCCCTACGAGGTGAGAAACAAGTTTATTTGGTTGGATTCTAACCTCAACTTCACCAAGTTGCTTAACATTTTGAGGTTGAGCAATAAATAGCTTTAATTAGATAGAACCATAGATAACAATTTTGACCTGATACGTTTTATCCGATATGTTTGACCTGTTTTGGGTCAGGTACGATACTCTCCTCGACCTGACGTACCCATTGCCATTCCTCACCCCACAAATTAAGCAAAGACATTAATTCTATAAGAACAAGTTGGGCAAGAATCGATCTGGAAAAGAAAAGGAACAGGTAAAACAATGGTCAAAGAGAGAGACGGACAGTGAGAATATCTGCTAGCTAGCTAGCTGCTGTTCTCTGCTCTGATCTGCACGAACAAGTTTGACTCCAAGTGGGGGAATTTTTGAGCCTCTTTATTCCATCTCCCCCATCCTTCCTGGCTCCTGCAACAGTAGTCCTGTTTCTGCATGAATTCACTCATCATTAAACACCCACCCAGCTGCAGTTAATTCTGTTTCCACAGACACAAGATTCCTCCATTTCTTTCTAATAATCAAAGTAGGAAAGAAGAAGAAGAAGATATGGAATACCGGGGTTGACAAGGAGAGGCGGGTGTGAGAGTGAATGCAAAATGGTCCAGGCCCGGCGCTGGTCTGGTCAGGGCTCTGTTGTGTACACTACAGAGGTCCCGTTTCTGTGGTCACCCTACTCTACATGGAAGGATTATCCATCAGGTTATCCAATCGCGCCATAAAAGCAACTGCACAAGAATGAACAGCACCAACTTGCGCCCAGCCAGCCCAATGTTGATTGACTGCGACCATCATCATCATCATCATCATCATGCGCGAGCTCTTCTTAATCTATCCTCGGCCACCACACAACACCTTCAAAATCAAATCAATATCAGTCATCTGAGTGCAATGCCACAGCTACATTAGCAGTCATCAAGCGGATTAGTATTAGCACTGATGATTAAGTTTGGACACAGATTTCACCATCACTGTGACCACTAACAACACTTCTCCATCACTCCATCACATTTACCCAACTCTGCTCTCTTTTGGTACCTTCTTTCGTTCTGTTCTCCATCCCACTCATTATTCTCTGGCTCACACTCCCTTTTGCACTTTTTTCCTGTCCTTTGGAGCCTCTGCCAGGAGGATAGGTTAGATATACATATACTTCTCTTCTCTTCTGTTGCTGTCAACGCACGAAACCCATTGTAGGTGCATTTCAATTCATCCGGTCCCCTCCCTCCATCACCATCAACAACCCACAAATTCTGTTCTATCTCATTGATGTTAGATTCCACCATTGATTGATCTGTAACTTGGGTTTAACTAACGAGAAAGCACTTAACTTGGTAAGTAATTTCAGTAAAAGGGCTTCAAATTGATGCTAATCTTTTATTGATAGCAATAATACATGATGGTATACATACAAAAAAAAAATATACATATGGGGTATGTACCACAAGCAAGCAAAAGAATCATCAGAGATTTTGATTTGCAGGCATGAACATAATAGAGCTCTATCTCTTCTCAACTTCTTCATCACATCTCCATCTCCATCTTCAGATTAGATGAACCAGCTGAACCTGCAAAAGGGTCAAGTATAGTGTGATGAGAAATGGGAGGCAGGGGAATCTTGGTGGGGCGATTAGGGAGCACTTAATCTTAAACTTAGCTCTTATCCTCATCATTATCATCATAATCTTGTATCTTTTATAAAAAAAACCTTATTAATTTGACTAACAATCAGAATCATCATGGAAGTTTAACGTTAATTAATCATTGAGATGATGAAGCAAGCGAATTGGTCAATATCCCACTTCTTGTTGGTTTCTCTTTTCAAGGAAATGACACCATTATGGGGTGAAAGATGGAGATCCCTTTCCTTTCTAAAGGAGGGGGAGAAAAAGAAAATCAGTGGTTGTTGTCATCTGAAAGAAGGATTGAAAGACACATCTTAACCAACTTCACTCCCACTTCAGTCAGTCAGAAAGAAAGAAAAGCAATTACATGATTGCAAGGTTGTGGGGTTCTCCCTAACCTCCATCACTACTAGTACTAGCTAGAACTTCTTTTCAAAGTTTCCATCTTTTTTCCCCTCTCTGTACCTGCAAATTGCTGGGATGGGAAGGATGCAGCCCTTGCTTGATCAAATGCTACTTGGTAAAGGCTTGGAAGATCAGCATCCCAAATTGATGCCTGCTGCTGCAAATACAGATAATAATACACATAATTAGTTCAACCATTTGGATGTATGTAAAACACTCTATATGATTAATACAAACTGATACACATGATGTGTAGAATTGATCAACTTACTGGGAAACAAGACGAATCGATGAATGTTTCGGTTTCGGGGTTTGTGATTGGTGCACTGATTGTTCTTCTGAGCCCCAAATCAGCTGCTGCAGAAGAAGAGTTCATCATCATCCCCATGTCCAGACCAGAGCAACCCAATAACTGTTGTTGCAGTGAGTTCAAGTGAAGGTATGCTGCTGCCATATCCGAGCTCGACGATGACATCCCCATAGCCGGGAAATTGTTCCCACCACTAGCTACAGCCTCTTTGGGGAACAAGCTGTCGATGTTGAAATCCATACCGGGATTCACAGCAGCCAGTTTCATGGACAAAAACTGTTTCCATGGATTGGTAGGATCGTATCAGTAAAGAAAATAGTAAGGAAATGAAGCAGTTTCATCGATATGTGATTTTGTTATTACCTCAACTTGGCGCTGAAGGGACTGGACATAGTTGATAATCTCGTCAAGCATCCCAGCCTTGCCTGTGATTTTGTTGCATCCAGGCACCAAATCCTGTAGATACTTCATCCTCTCGCTGATCTTTTCCCTCCTTACCTGTCCCATTCACAACAACAACAGCCAGAAATCAGTCAAATGTTTGATGATAAAAAGCAGAGATTTTTTATTTTTATTTTTCCATCACCATTATCACAAAATTTGAGCCATAAGTGCAAGGTGCTCACTCTTTCAGCTAAGCTGTGGCTATCAGTGGCCTGGCCGCGGCGGGCGCGAACATGAATGTAATCCGTCTTCTGGACTTCATGAGTAACTTTGGAACTGTTGTTTTCCTTTGAGCTGCTATCCCCACCGGAATTCTCCTTCTTGACGCTCTTGTTCTTGTTCTTGCTGCTGCTACTGCTGCTGCTCACGCTGCTCTTCTTATCACCTCCATCTCCACACCCGGCTTTCACCTTCTTCGTCTTCGATTCCCCGTTCTCGTCCACCGCAACCACCTATTTTAAACAGAGCAAAAAAAAATTCAGCAATAACACAACAGGGGAAAACCTTACGGAAATTCTGAATTTGGGAAGGAAAATTAATGACCTTAGGGCTACGTTGTTGGGGCTTGTCCAATTTCCGTTTCTTCGAGCCGTCTACTACGCTCGCCGCAGCCGGGGTCTCCATCGCCGGCGGCGACGACGACTCGGCCGCCGTAGGCGGGCAGCTAGATGTCCTAGAAATCCCATACACATGATTCCCAACCGGGGCAAAATCAGGCCAGCCGTTCGCGAAGAAACCCGGGTCGGGTTTCAATTGGATGGAGGAAGAAGGGCTCCGGCTCATCTCCACCACCTCCCCTAACCCACCGTCGCCACCGTCGCCGTGAAACCCGTTCAAAACGCAGCCCATATAATCGTCGCCTAAGGAGCCCACTTCTTGCTGCTGCTGATGGAAATTGTACTGTAATCGTTGTTGTTGTTGCTGTTCCGCATCGTGATAGTGGTAGGGATGATGATGCCATTTCGCCGCCGCCGGGTCCAGCAGCGCGGCGGAGTCGGCGTAGTGGAAATCGGGCGGTGGAGGTAAGAAAGAGGCTCTGTCCATGGGTTTTTCTATTGAATTCCGATTGTTTTTGAGTGGGTTGTGAAGAGGAAGAAGCGGAGGTAAAATCTGGAGGGAAGATTGGGAGGTCTATATATGGCCGGCGAAGGAACGGAGGGAGAGCAGAGAGAAGTGGTGGAGGTGGGGGCAGAGGAGCAATGGGGGGAGAGGGGACTGCTGGGTATCCATAACCAGAGGCCAGAGCCAGAGGAGAGGAGAGGAGGGGAGTGGGGCCCGCTGACATGACCGCCACGTGGGACTGTCCCGAAACTCGAAAAAACGGCGTTGGCTCTTTCATGGGGGCGTGGAGAGAAAGAAGGAACGGAGGGAGGCTGGGGCCGTTCCGTCACGGCCGCGGCGCCCACCACAAATCCACACCTCCGTTTCCCTCCCACCTTTTTGTTGCTTCATTCTCTCCTAGATTCATTCGTGTTAATCATGGATTAGTAAAAAAATTAACGAGGAATTGTTGAATGAATAATAATAAAGTACGGTTGATGACGATGATTGCAGTTACACACGGCAGTGATGAAGGCCACCTATTAGAACACAGATGGTGACGTAGATAGGCATCTATACCTTCAATGGCGGCAAAGCCATATATAGTTACTAGTTAGTAGCAGTACCCTTAAATTGTGGAGAGCTGTATCCATAAACAGACGTCTTAGCTATTTTGTGCAGAAATATATTACGTATAACAAATATTAAAGGTTATATATTTATGGTATTGTTTTCGATTTCGGTTCACTCATTATTATTTTTTAGTTCATGCTATTCACCTAGAGGTGGCAAATGGATTGATCCATCGATTGGTGGATCCATGGATTAAATGGATTGGATCAAGAGGATTGGTGGATTATCTATGAATCTAAATGACATCCTCAACCACAACCAAGGACCAATATGTAAAATGTGAAAAGTTTAGGTACTAAATATCATAATGAAATTTTTTGGGTACCAAAATGTAATTTTCCAATGATATTTTTCGTATAAAAATTAAATTTTGGGTACCAAAATGTAAAATATAAAAAATATAGGTATCAAACCGTAATTTGCCATTTGGATCCATCCATGAATCCACCAATTGGATTTGGATCAAATGGATTGGATTTAAATGGATTGGATTAGGTGGATATTTTTAATGGGTTGATGTACTGGATTGGTGGATTGGATTGAGAATTGTCACCTCTAATTCACTCGTTTCAAAACTAGATCAATCACCATTTGTGATGTGATGGATAAAAAAACACATGAATTTGTACAAATAATCATTCAATATTTACTTTGCTATGAAAATTTAGAGTTTGGGAATTTAGAGTTATGCCGTTTATGGTTATGATTCAAATTTAAAGACTTAGGGCTTAGAGCAATGCATTAAATAGTTATGTGATCTTATGTTATATCATCGTATTAGACTATTCCTATCAGCTCGTTTGGAAGTTGCGAGTTGCGATTGTTACTATACATGTATTGTTTAGAATGCATCATTTTATTTTTATTTTTGTAGCAGAGATAATATATGGATTGTTTTTGTGATGTGATATAAACTATCACTCAAAATAAGTAATTGTTATATCTTAGCTTTTAGTTGTGATTGTTGAGATAGTTGAGTTGAGATTGTTTTGTCTTAGTTTTTAACTGATGTGACATATACAATTACACATACCAAACGTTGTATTGTACGATGCATCATATTCGACAATACATGTATAATATTATACAGGGCAAATACCACTAGGAAACCCGAACTATAAAGAATGCGTCATTTGTGTCCTTAAACTATTTTTCCGTTAGAGTTGACTGTTAATTTTTAACAGAATGTCTAGTCAGCGTTGATGTGTCATCTAAGGTGGAATTTATAATATTAATTTATAATTATTTTTCATATAAGGAAAAAATTACATAAATAAAAAACAAAAAACAAATCTGATTTGGGGATTCTTTTTTGGAACACAATTAATTGTTCTCTTCCTCGATTAATCGTCCTCTTCCTCAGATCCGCTGCCGTCAGTAGCTCTTCCTCCGGCGACAAGAAGCTCGATACTCTAGAGCATCAACTGGAGGTAACTGGTGGTCAGATCTCCGTCTGGCGCAGGGAATCAATGCTTCCATCAAGCCCAGATGTGGTTCGCCGAGGTGTGAGAGGTATGCTTTTGGTCGGAGAAGGGAATGGAAGTGACAACGATTTTGCATAATCCAAAGCCCAATAATTCAGATGGAAGCTCAAAATGGGAAGCTTTATCTTGCGAAGGCAGGGGAAATCGATTGAATCGATATTACCAAGGGAACGAGAGAGGAAAAAGAGGCAAGGGAGCTCGACCGATCAGAGAGAGAGGGGAAATTGATTATTGGATTGCTGGCCGCCACCGCCCCGCATCTACGAGGATCAGAAAGGAACGATTGGTCGCCGTTGTCGCTGTGGAGGGGGGATGCCGGAATTGGATGTCGACGGTGAGAAGCAGAGTGAGGGAGGGGGGTTGTGGCGGTAGGGGTTACAAAATCACATTTCGTCGGAGGAGAGGAAGAGGAAGAAGTAGGGGCGGCTTACACTTTTTATTTTCTTAAGTATATTTATTTTTTATTTTGTAATTTTTATTTAGTTTTAATTAAAAATATGATGTGTCAATGACGTGACATCTATGTGGCTGCCACGTCAACAAAATTTAATGTTAAAGTTGACTTCCGTCTAGTCAACCGTCATATATAACGGTCAACGAAATCGTCCGAACATAAATGACACACAACTATCAAAGGTTGGGACACAAATGTCATATCAGATACTTTAGGACACAAATGACACATTCTTAATAGTTAGGGTTTCCTAGTGGTATTAGCCCTATTATATATGCATTCACAACAATACATCTATTTAACAATCGCAACTTTCAAACGACTACTAAAATTCAAAATTTGATTTCTTAAAACTAATTTTAGAGTTAATTGCATAATATAACTCGAATTAGCAGGATTTTTGGGCATGATACTATACCCTAACCCTTAATGAGTGAACCCTAGGTCCTAATTATCTAAATCGTAAACTATAAACCCTAAGATGGTGCATTAATTTTTTTGCCTATATTTGGACGAATCATAACCGTCGATCATTGTTTCTAATTAAATTGATCTTGGGGTATAAGATTTAGAGAATTAAGACCTAGATGTTGATCTTTAAGGGTTAGAGTATAGTATCATGTCCGAAAGATTAGTCAATTGAAGTTCTGGATAGCGTTTTCTTACTCAGGGTATGCGGTACCCTGGATTTATATATATATATATATATATATATATATGGTGGCGTCTTCGGTGCACTCACTTTTTTGGGTGCGTTCAGTGCACTCACTTCATAACCATCATTTTAAACATGCGATTTATGTAAAAATGATGTCAATCATCACTTATGATGTGATGAACAATAACACACATGAATTTGCACAAAAACCATTGAAGACTTACTTTAATTTGAAGGATTTAGAGTTTAGAGATTTAGGGTTAGGGTTAGGGTTTACAATTTGGGGTTTAGGGATAGAACTCAAAATTGGAGGTCTAAGGCTTAGGGTAATCGGCTAATTAGTTGTTATCATACGGTATATCATCATATTACACTGATTCTACAAATTAAAATTCAACATCCGACACTTTAAGACTAGTTTTTGAGTTGAGTGCATTGAACGCACCCATTTTTGTGAGTGCACCGAAGTAGTCACCATATATATATATATATATATATATATATATATATATATATATATATATATATTTAGTTTTATGATTGCATTGTACAATAGAGTTAATTGCATTATATATATATATATATACACACGGTGGCTACTTCGGCGCACTCACTTTTTTGAGTGCACCCACTCTAAAAGTGTCCATATTATATCAAATTTTGAACTTTAATTAGTACTCTCGATCTAATATGATGATATGACATAAAATCATAACAAATCAATCTATTACCCTAACCCCTTAACCTTCAATTTTGAATCCCAATCCAAAATCCCAAATTGTAAACCTAAACCCTAACCCTAAATCCCTAAATCCTAAATCCTTCAAATTAACGTAAATTTTGTATGAATTTTTTTCAAATTCATGTGCTTCTGGTTCATAATATCATAAGCAACAATTGATACCGTTTTGACATAAATCGCATGGTCAGAATGACAATTATGAGGCGGGTGCACTGAGTGCACCCAAAAAAACGGGTGCACCGAATACACCACCATATATGCACTAGTTATATGATTGCATTGTACAAGCGCACCATATATTTATATCCTAAACCGTTAATATTTATGCAGAAATATACATTTACCATGAATGAAACTCGAAAAGACAAAGTCTAACTGCAAGCTAGCTAGAGATCCTCATCTCTGTCAATATATGAACCCGCTCTATCGGGTGTTATCCGATTTGACTCATATTGGCGCAGATAGTATTTAACATGTTCCCCACCCAATTTTGTATTTGTTCTATCTCAATTTGTTTCAATATCTAATTATATTTCTTCTATTTTAATTATTCTTCAATCATATATTCACCCGATAAAACTTTAAATAGTTGCAGGATTTCTTCTTTCAATTAATTAGACTTAATTACTCATTTTATTATATTATCTTCAACTCATGATAATAGAGTTTATTTCACTCACCATTGCATGATAGTAGCTGACTCCTTATGTAAGTTATTGGAAGAAGAAGCGCGCATGTTTATCACAAGCAAGTATCTCACTATATCAATGGAACTTCTTCACAAGATCAAAGCAAGATTAGCAAAAATGAAAAAACATTAGCGTGTAAGAAGTGAACTTGTGATCAAACATGCTAAAATTAACCTTCTAATAGCAATTGGAAGGTTATTGGCTTAATTGGACAACACAATATAAAACTTAGACCTTAATTACTTGGCCAGCTGCAGACAAGTACATTGACTGTATACCGCAGGCTGCTGCAATAAACAATGCCATTTATTTTTATAAATTTTGGGTGGGCGGGTAGTACAGGTACCCATAATATCCAAACGGGTGTTAAGAGGTTACCTGCGGATACCCATTATAGAACTTTTTCATCCCATGTTCCATCTCGTAAAAAAAATGGATATTTTTTAGTACATGTAATAACCAAAAAAACGGAACTAATATAGGTATACCCAAATACCCCTACTGGTTTGCCACCACGGCGATCTTTATCAATCGGCTATAGGGTTTCCCAATTCTCCTTTCTCGCTGCCTTCTCTGCATGAAATTCTCCTTTTCTACCCTAAGTATATCGGATTAGTTATCCTGCGCTTTGATCATATGCTTTTCCCTCTTTTTCAATTGAAAAGCATCGCCATGGAGTGCTTTTGATTTGGAAAGATGTGTGATTTGGAAATGCACCAAATTAAGGGATTAGACATTAGAATGCATGCATCCAGTCAGTCATTGAGATCAGACATTAGAATGCATGCATTCAGTTTTTATTTTCACGAAGTTAATTATAGAATTATGGTAATTAGGGACAAAAGGGTGAGCAAAATGTTTAGTTGTATAGAAACCCTTTACCAAACTATATATAGATTAATTTGAAATGTATATTACCATTGTCACAAATTCACCGAGGTTTCAATGTTTCAGGTGAAAAGTGAGATTGCTAATTAATATCGAGATCATCTGTTTCAGATAAAAAAGAAGCGATGTCAATTAAGTAAAAAGACTAAGGAAGAGCAACAAATTGTGTCAATTGCTTATATATTCAAGTAAGAGGTGATCGAACCGCCAACACTCGTATACCCTACAAATAATATTTTCAAGATTATGATATCGTGTCATTTTCAAGAAATTTCATCGACTACAAATTGGATCAACACAAAGACAACGAAAGCACATGGGATTGAACGTTAATAACGGGAGTAATTTAAGGCTCTAATTTGCAAGAATTGTGTAGTCAAAGTCATGCATGAAAGGGACCGTCGTGATATATAACCCTAGCAAGCTAATTAAGGCCACAATTGCGACGTATCATCTCTTTGCATGGGTGATTACATATAGATCATTCGAAAATGGCTAATCATCATCGTGTATTAATTATTATCGTTAAAAATAAGACAATCTCCCTTAACAACCATGCATCTTCTGGATCCTTCGAAATTGGTTTCTTATGGGGTTATTTCATCAATCATCGTCATCCGACCAACAAGAACAAAAAACAAATCAAGTTAATTAATCATGAAGTGGGATAATATAATATCACTAATTAAATATTCTCTCTAAACAGAAAAACGACGACACTAATAATTCCCTTGTCCCGATGACAAACGAATATTAATTAGTAGCCGACATGCATAATTATTGCTTCAATCTGTAATGACAAAAATAATTAATCATTCGCAAGCTGAAAAGATAGAACTGCAGTTGGCGGATCGGACGCCGTTGGAATAATTATACTAATATACTATCACATCCGCTTGCTAAATCAATTTAGTACGTAGTTTCGTTATTTGACATAACAATAATAATAATTAATCAACACATGTTAACTATGTGTGAGCCATATATATTATTCAATTATTACATGCATGCGTTTAATTAATCAATTAACTATTTTGCACTTCAACAGTTCAACTGGTACGTGTTTGTCCACAAGTTTCATCATTGTACAAGCTTTTTCATGCTCACTAATTAAAAATAGTTCCGAATCAACATATCTGGACAAGTCAAAATCGTTGGTTATTATGTTTTGATAAATTAATCTTATGATTTGATTTTAAAGAATTAAAAACGGTTTACCCATTAGAGATTAGACAGGGCCGGCCTAGAGGGTGTGTCAACCGGCCCTCTGGCACAGGGCCTCCATCTAGATTCGTTAATTAATCCAATAGTTTAATGTAGGTTGTATTTTTAGTGTACGATTAATTGCTTATGATAATGATGATGGGTTTAATTAATACTAATTTTAGTTATTGGTTAATAATCTCATGTATTTATACACTAAACACGTATATTGATGGTTAAAATAGTGTTTGTGTTTTGAAAATCCTATTAGTATTAACAATAAAAAAAAATCTTAATGAAATAGCTATGATAACAATTGAAAATGTCTCAAGGAGACTGAAAAAATAGAAATATATTATATTATTTCGAATAATATTATTATAACCATTTTAATTTTATTAACTTATAGAAAGATCTCATGGGCCACATCTCAATTTTGGAATAGAGCCTCCACGAACCATTGGGCAGCCCTGAGATTGGGTAATAGTATGAAGCACAAACTCCTATTAATTCATGCTATAAATAACGAGACTCAACAAATATACGATAAGAACAGTCTTGCGTCATACAATTATCGTTAATTTGTAGTTGGAAACTGAAAAAATTGTTACTCATCCTGAGACAAATTTCTCTTTAAGCAAAAACCCCACCACGGGGAACATTTACCAACCGGTCTGAATTCCCCAGTTGTACTGTACTAATACTACTTTCTTCTTTGGCCGAACTATCTTAATTATTTGCCTTTCCAATTAAGAAATACGTACTTGGAGTTGGTTCAGGGGACATTATTATCCTCATGTCCCGATCAGACTTCTTCCTAGCGTATTTGATTAGCAACCTTTTAAGCTCTTCAAGCAAGCCAAAAGATAAGAGGTAGGAAAAAAATGGAGAAAAAAAAAAAGAAGATTTATAAGCTGAGGAATTCTTGAAACTGTTTATCACTAGCTGTGTAACCGTTAATACAAGGTTCTTGTTGTTATACATAAGATACGAGTTAAATATGTACTACAATCTTCTGTTTATATATATATATTCTATACTCCTTTATCAAAATTTGTCGTTCTCTTCGATTTTCAAAATGTCAGTATCTTTTGTGTTTAATGAATCATGCGACTTTACATATTGTTGATTTTTATTACTTTGTCAGTAATTGTCCTGTGTTATAACATGTATCGATGTTTGGAAACTAATCAATCTACTAATCCTTCTTTCCATTGGATTTTTTCTTGTTAGAGAGGGAAATCAAATGGGAAAGGGGACAAGTCCAGAGAGGATGAGGGCAACTTTCTATTATCATCATCATTATCAGGAAAATGAATGAATGAATGAAAGAACAAATGGGGTCCTATTCACTTTATTTGTTAGTCACTCTCTTTCTATATCTCCAACTTGCAATATACCAAATAGTTCTTATGGATCGCTTGACCTTATTATTTATACCACAAAAATCACTTTCTTCTTTGGTCTTAATCAGCACAAAGATCAATTTATCCCTATTGGCTTCATGCCCATTATTCAATTCTGGCTCTCTTTTGGATTGCTACGTTCTCATCAACTTGGCTTCTTATTGCTTTATTATGATGTTTTTTTGGTGGCTTGAATTGACCCAAAGGTTCATCTCTCTCGAAGAACAGTGTATTTTATCTCTTCTGTTTTTGTTTTAGGGCAACAGTTAAGAATAGACTGCATGCATCATAACATATAATCCTTATCATCCTCGATTTGAGTTTGGATTTGGCACCAATTTACTGTAGGATAACTAGTGGATAAGAATATTATTTGACCTCTTTTTTGACATGGATAGATAGGACATATACATATGTATCTACTGAAGTCGGGGGGAAATAAGCCGAAAGTTCATGACCTCTTTGAATCCAAATCTTGAGATTATCAAATCAGATATATGTCCCTTTTGGACTTTGGTGGCAGTATATGTAGTTATTTATTTTTTATTTTATATAATGCCACTCAAACCCAGAACTAGCTGGTTCTCCCCGAAATGCGTTGAGGCGCAGCAGTTGACTGGACATCTAGGGGTAAAGCACTATTTCGGTGCGGGCCGCGAGAGCGGTACCAAATCGAGGCAAACTCTGAATACTAGATATGACCTCAAAATAACAGGGGTCAAGGTCAGCCAGTGAGACGATGGGGGATAAGCTTCATCGTCGAGAGGGAAACAGCCCGGATCACCAGCTAAGGCCCCTAAATGATCGCTCAGTGATAAAGGAGGTAGGGGTGCAGAGACAGCCAGGAGGTTTGCCTAGAAACAGCCACCCTTGAAAGAGTACGTAATAGCTCACTGATCGAGCGCTCTTGCGCCGAAGATGAACGGGGCTAAGCGATCTGCCGAAGCTGTGGTATAAGTTAATATCCGTAACCGTGGAAATACGTACGCCCGAATCCGACTTAGTTGGGTAGGGTAAAACTCGAACCCGAAACACTTGTAGTGGGTACGAGTAAAACCCGAACCCGAATATTGCGGGTAATCGGTGGGTATGGTTTTCTCACTATCCAACCCGGACCCGCCCGATTATACACATGCATATGTATTTTTTCTACAAATAATCATTATTTTTATCTAACATATTTTGTATTAAGCATATAAATATAGTATTTTCATGAAATTGTGTTGTTTTAATTAATTTTTTCATTCTAGTGAATTATTGTCTTATTTTTCCTCGTATGTAATGTGAGAATAAGTGTAAATGTTAACATATTGTTTGAAGTTATAAGAGAAATTATTACCCATGGATCCCCGAAATCCGAACGGGTATGGACATGGTTTTGATTTTCTACCCGTTTCTTATGTGGGTATGGGTAAATCCCGAACTATTTTGGGTAGGGTAACGGATATGCACTATCCGCCCCGACCCGACTCATTGTAAACCCTATAAGTTGAGACCCACTCTAACTCATATTTGCCAATATATAGGACCCTTAATTTCTTTGTTTCTCGTTTGCTAGCATTTCATGGTTATGATTTCTGTAGTCCATTAAATAATGATGGAGAGGTGTGTCTATAGATAAAATAGTAATTTTATAACAATAATTTCCCCCCGAATAATGGAGGTGTGTCGCTTACAATTATAAAAATTACGTTGAATATCCCGATTTTGAATTCTTTTATAATAATGAAGAAACCAAATTCTCTCACAAAATTTTCCAACAAAGATGCGTCGCCCGAAACACCTTGCTCTCAATTTGGACCCGCCCGTCCATGATCGGTTATTATCTGAGCAACCATCGTTGTACCTATTTGTTCTTGATACCTAATTCCATCTATTGACGCATCGCGACAAAATCACTATGAGAATTCCAAAACATAACACAAGAATAAACAATACCCACTTAGTCACGCACACATGGGTTCCTTTTACTTTTGTATGTACATTTCGAACTCTAGCTAGCTAGTGCCAAGACATTCATTCGAGGGAGTTCCCATGATGAGGTAAGTGACATAAAAGAAGCTAAGTAGCCAGCATAGCTAGTGTGCGAGAGGGATGGGAGAGGGGGAGGCGTATAGGAGAAGAACCCACCATTAAAGATTATGGGTTTGAAGCTAGCTAGCTATCTAGCTAGCAAAGCACGAAGAATTGAAGCAGAGATTGCAAAGATATATAGATATTTGGCAGGCAGCAGATCCAATGATCACAGCCAACCTAACTACCTAGCTATAATACGAGGATGGAGGTCCTAGCAAGCTAGTTCTCTCCCCACGTAACGTTGTTGTTTTTGTTTTGGAAGGAGGACAAGAGAAGAGGTTGCCATGCATTGCATCGAGCTAGGCTTAGCTATAAGGCATGCAATGCAACTCCAATAATTTGCAATCATGATCATTATTATCGTGCACACGCTCGCACAAAATGGGCTTCCTTACTCTTACCCTTACCGCCCTTAAGTTCTAGCTCTCTTCTTCTGTGCTCTTATTTTATTTGTATCATATTCATATTCATCATCGTGCCTTCTCCCCCACCATTGTCAGAAGCTGAGAGAGGCTGATCGTTTCTTCTGCATATTGGGCGTTTTTTTTTATTTTGTCATGTAGGGGTTGTTTCTCGATGGATGGACCGGACCATAAAACGTTATGGCCGGGGGTGGGTTTTAAATGCACAAGATTCATGGCTCAACATGGACGTTTTTTCGATCCTTCCCGAGGAGAGGGGAGATGTTGTGATTGCTCCCAATCAAATCAAATCAAATATCGAAATGAATGAATGCATGGGCATAACATAATGCACAACTTCCTATAAGGCTAGGGTAACAACAATTTATATACTTCTCCAACTCCATCTATTCTATCCATGTCGTCGCCATAGATCAAGTTAAGAAATTAGTACACTTTTACGTGTAAAAGAGAGAGAAAAAATATATATTTGAAGAGTGAATTACTTGTACTAACTATTTTACGAAATATTAGAGCTTTTACTTGGGTGGTGGGTTGTTAATTCGTAATTTTACATCGATCCACCTGCAAATAACTGAACTAATGTGGGTGGATTGTATATTGGTAAATCTCCTACTCACACTTATTCGGGTGGGGGTGAGTGGATTGCAGGTCACCCAAGTGACCCACACCATTTTTTTTACATGACCAAAACGTTATTTCTTGTTTATACTACCATATAGTTATCATATTTTCTAACTGAACTGCACACTCGCCTTTGACTTCTAAAAGCAGAGAATATAACATTTTGGCACTACTATTATTGGTTACTATGTTGTGCAGTGTAATTAGATATTTGGATGCATATTATAAACTATTAATTGTATCAAAGTCACAAGATGTGAAAATTTTCTCTACACAACTGGTTCATGGAGCAATGAAAAATATGATGCAAATACTACATGAATGCACATGAGACAAAGCGGATTTTCTCTAAATTGCTACACTCTTACTAATTTGTGTGGAACTTATTATAAATGTTAGTCAAGTTTCTTAATAGCTAGTTGGAGAATTTCTTTGCGAGTTAACCCTCAACCCAACTGCACCAATCCGTCACCCGCCCAACTCAACCCAAAGAAGATTGTGGGTGGCCGGATAGCTGGTCACAATTATATCAACTCGCTAGTAAGCTAGTGGGTGAGTCAATTTGAGACCAAAACTCGCCCAACCCGCCTAATGCCCACCCCTAAGAGAAAGGTCTCTTTTTTGTATTTTTAAGACTCTTGATAGTATTAGTAACTATTGATTTAAGCACAATGTATAGCTGACCTATACAAACTTCAAGTCCATGTGTTTGCTTTTAGTTTAGAGAGCCTTCAATACAATGGTATATAATCCAAATTAAGAATGACAATGGATCGATTCGTGAGTAATTTGACCCAATTGTCATAATCCATATAGGTATTAGGTAGGACCCAAACAGACTCGTAAGCACTTGTAATTGGTTTGGGTTTGAATATGGTTCAACTTGATAAACTCATTTGGGTCCGCCCATAAATGTGTAATTGGGTGCAGATGATTGTAAAAAAAAGAAAGAAGACAATATTAGCTATCCCATTAATTGGATTCAATCCAAGTACACCTTTAATGTTAGTGAACTAGTGGTTCGGCTTTCTATTCACTTCATAACAAAAAAATAAGACAATAGTTCTTTTGGGTGTTCAATACTATGAGTCAAGTTTAAAACCAAATTAAAATTTTGGATATGAATCTGCGAAAAACAAAATTATCAAAACTAAACTTGACCCAAATTAAAAGGGATTGCTATTCGTCGCCCTAAAACTTCTTATTTGTCGCCCTAATCTTCATAAAATTACTTAAATACCCTTATTTTAGTCTTTGTTTTCAAAACATTTACAGCTTTGCCACAAGAGTAGACTATTGATTTTGCCTGGCCACACGTGGAAGCCTATCATCTTCGCAGTGGGATAAAAGAAAAGAGGTAGCAAACATGGATTCAAAAAATTGTAAAAGATGTAGACAAGATAAATCGATTCACAGCTGCTTTCTGTACTCGCCGGAGAGCTCTTGTAATTGAAGCTAATTACAAGGATATAAAAAATTCAATCTAAGAAGCGATTCAAAAAAAAAAAAAAAAAAAAAAACCAGCAGCAGCGGGTAGGCAGGCGGCTGGGGAACGATAGCGCCGGACCAAGCTGCTCAAACCTTCTACCTCCTGCAGTCCTGCTTCTTCCTTCTCCTTACTCAGCAACAGAAGCGGGTGACAGCACTCGTACCTTCTTCCTCCTGCTTCATCTTCTTCCTTCCTCAACAATAGCAGCGGGTCGGCGTGCTAGGGGAATGGCCACGGCGGCTGGTGGGATTCAATCTCTTTCTCAGCAATGACAGCAGGTCGGCAGAGTTTGGGATGGGAGCGGCGGCGGTTGGGGGAATGGGAACGGCAACGGTGGTGGGACAGTTGGTGGGCTGGACGGCAATCCGAGCTGGGTACTATTAGTTGATACGGATTGAAATTGGGTATATGGGTATAAATGTCAATTTAGTACAATTTAGGGCGAAATAATTTAAATTTTAGGGCGACGAATAGCGATTCAGAATTAAAATGAGTTTGGACAAATATATTGTATCGTTTTTGCCATCCCCTAATCCATATTATCCTCACTTGCAACAACTCGAGACCACATGTTCCTGAAGAGCTAGCTATGGTTACAGTCCACCATGGTAAAACCTACGAAAAATAATTGATGGTATATGCAATATATGTTTCACAATGCACATGTGTCTTGAAATTGTATATATACAAATAATTATTATACTACTACTACTACTATATATGACGAAAGAATAGATATACACACATATATATATATATCAGCCAGCGCTCACAAGTTTCCTGTGGGTTGGGGTTGGTTGGTTGGGAAACGAGGTGCTGCTATGCTAAGTGCTAACTGCTCCAAAAAGCGAAGAATAGAGAATAGATGACGCCGGCCGTCAAATGTGTATATGTGCAAACTACTCCTAAGCTTGGTTGGCTTTATTCATACATAGGCATCACGCACGCCACATCTCATCTCCTACACTATACAACGGAGGAGAAGAGATTGCAAACTCGAAACTTTGTCTATACCTAATCTCTCTCTTTCTCTCCATATGCATTTTCTCATAATTTCCCCCTTCTTTTCCCCCATCTTTGTCCTTCACACTAAGCAAACAAAGGCGTCTGATCACGTTAGTAAC